AGGATGAAAAATATAGTCCTCCGTCATACTGATAGTCAGTTCGGCATTAGTTTCTGAGCTTGCAAAGATTATGTTTGTGTTTACAGCCTACAAGTGGAATTTTCACCCATTCAACACATCCAACGTTATGCTTACCCCACAAACCAATGTGTCATTGACAGCACTTAGAGATGAATAAAAACCCCGAGGTAAAATCATCAAACAACCTAAATTTATGAGATAGAACACTTGAAAACAATGGTGAAAAAGTAGAGGGAAAAGTAGGAACATACCCCATCCACTCGGGTCAACAGCATCACGACACTCTACTCTGAATTTTGATTGGTGACTACGAACCTCTCCAACAGTTTGCCTTTGTATGTCCGCTAATGAGGGACTTATTTCCACTGAGCTACAGTTGTATATGTAGTTTTCACGTGAGACAGGAGGAAGAAAAATTGAAGCAAGGGGAGAGAGGAGAACCTCAGATGAGACAAAGTTATGAATATACTTTTATATATATATATATAATTTTTTCTTATATGAGTGTCTGGACAACTTGCATGTACCTCGACTATTCTCATGGGATAACCGTCTAACCCTACAACATTTGACTACTAAAAGTAATTCGTAAGATATTAAATCCAAGATAGGTGTCCACCATAGTTTGAAATTGTTTTCTCTAATCTCTTTACTATTTACATTGACCTTCATTAACCACTATCCATGATGGTTAATATATTTATATTATTTGACAAAATGAAACTTTAAAGTTTATCTCTTGCTTAGACTAAAAACTTCATTCACCATCTAATTGTGAAATTCTCGATGATTTCTTACAAAATAATCAATGTATAGGTTTATGAATAACAAGACAAAGTGACAAAAACAACCTATCAACTTATAATATACATTTCATTTTATTTGAACTTCATAGAATAATTTAATACAAAACATACATTATTATGGAAAAATGACAGTTAATAAATTTAAGAGTGAAGACGTATAAGATTTATTAAAATGATAAAGACATGAAAAAGTGTTCAACCTCGTATATTTTTAAGATTCAAATAACAAATAAAATAGCATTTTCCCTTGTGTTTTATCTTTTCACTATCCTAATTCACTAGTCATGATATTTATTAAGGTTGTCATATATTAAGGTTAAAAAAATAATTAAAAAAAAAACTCACATTATGGAATGTATACTTTTCAAACAATTCTAGGTTAATATAATATGTTCTCTAAAAAAGAATAGAGATTTATATTTTACAAACAATAGCTTTACTATGAAATATATGATCATATAGTTAATTCTAAAATAATATTAATTGATTTATTAACATATATGTTATAAATTTTGTATTATTATTATTTTACAATATTATATATTTTATAATATATTGCATTTAACATTTTTTAGTTTAACCAAGATGAAATGAATTTATAATATGATAGAATATATTTATCAAAGCTTTTATCCTTTTTAATGAAATTCTACATTTTAGAGTTTCAAATTCAGGACTGAAAACATAAAAATATTGTTTTCAGAATTTCCACCGTTTGGATCACAGAATCCAAAAACAGTTTTTGAATACGAGTCTACCAGAAAACATGAATTCATTGAATCCATCTGATTCAATGAATCTGAAAACAAAAAATGGAATTTGGATTGTATACCAAATCTATAAGTTCCCTCTCTAAAAAGCCTTCTGTATTTACAAAAAATAATTGTTAAAAATAGTTCGTTGGCTAATCTTGCCTCTATTAGGAGCACGTGTCATAGATGTGCCATAAAGATATTAGTCTATAACTATATAGATATGCCAGCTTAATGGCATTGGAAGGTTTTACTCATTTCAAGGTTGAGAAAAAGTACTGCAAAAGCACATACGTATAAGTCATATTCTTGTAAACTCTTGGAGGTGCATTCAACATTATGTAATCCATTATCCCCTTTGCACAAGTTCCTGAACCACCACCAATTTCATATATCTGTGGACACAAAAATCACACACACACACAATCAAGTTGGCATTGCAATTGCATAATTAGATATTCAGAGCATATAACTATTTCAACTTCTTGAAGGCTCCTATTTAAAAAGAAGGCTGTAACAAATTAATCTGTTACAATGCTCAGAAGGCCATCAGTTTATTTGCATTGAACAAATGGAAGAACTTGAAGAGAAACATAGAATACTGTTGAACTTCTTGATTTTGTTCATTTTGTGTCTTCCACATAGTGTTCTCTTCATAGGATCTTTCAAATGACTCTTTGTATTAATACCAACAGGAGGGCATATTTGTAAACCTAAAGACTTTGGTTAGGAGATGCCTTATGCCCTCGCACACTATTGGTTCTATACATCTTTTGCATTAATTCAAAAAAATTTCTCCTAACCCAATAAAAGAAAAAAAGTTATAGCATAGTGTTGCTGCGGGGGAATATCCATGTAGTAGGAGTATAAATATTGATTTCTAAAATTCAAATCTAAAATTAGTAAACAATTAGCAGGAACGGTTTATAACTATATGCCTCCTACAATACTCGCATATCTGCCAAAGAGAGAAAAATACAATTCTCAAGCTACTAGTGGTGGTTCCTATCAAATAAAAAGACTTCCTGACTGGAGCCTTTCAGGGTAAAAATCAGTCATTCTCAACTTCCTAACTATGGTTGTATGAAAAAGATTGCCAATAATTCAATTTTCTATTTTGACACAGAAAGCTTTGAGCATTTCTGTGTGGGACCGGATACATCAACCAGCCACCACAAAAAGTATTAGTTCTTTAGCACTCAAGATAAACAGGAGATGGGAAGACAAGATATCCTCCAAAAGCCAAAGTCAACGAGGTTACAAAATAAAAACCCTCCACTTCGCTAGGATAAAAAAAATGCCACGGCAACAAAAAAAATGTAACAAAAAGATCGTGGAATGGCTATGCATTTACACTAAAAGATCAAGAAAGATAGGAATCTTACTTTCAGAGGAATAGAAAGATTGGCAGTACGCATGATTGCTTCAGCAATCCCATGGGCGTACCAAGGCTACAAGGAAAGAAAATTGCAAAATCAAAGGCAATGAAAGCTGACAGGGCAAAATAGACAAACAAAGGCAAACATAAATGTTATAGCCACAAACTTGTTTGATCAAGTAAGCCAGGTTTCATAGTTACTGAGAAGGGAAGTTTTGATTCTACTCTCACCAAGGTAGGCAAAAAGTTAACAAAGAATATTCATGAATAATTTTATTCATGCTAGTTTTATCCCATTTCTCAAGAATTACATGGAGAGGGGCATGCCCAATATCAGAACCATTGAACCCTAGGAACAAAATTGTCCAAATTGGTGCTAATATTACACATAATGTCCTATGAAGAAGTTAATTAACTTTCATCACGAATCCATAGCAATCAGTTATATCTTACAACAGAATTTGATAGACAGTTTTCACTTTTTGAATATTTTACTAATGTAAAAAGAACCCCGCCCAAATCTTTAGCTTGCAGAGTAATTATGCCACTGGCCCGCTAACCATTTCTAATCTTCTTCCAGAAAACATGAATAAAAAGGTTTTGTATCCATTTTTAAACCTTGCACTACACATGGCCAAATTGAATCATTAACCATATGGATAAACTCCATGAAAGAGAGAGAGAGATGGAAAGGAGAGACGCTCTTCAATGACTTCAACAGAATAAAAGAGTATTTACAAAATATTCAGACGAGAAACTCCATCTAGAAGCTAAGTACAGAACAACACAACTCGTCAATTATTTCCTCACCCCTAAGCCCTCCACAAAAGATATGAAAATTTCTTCCCAAGCATAACAACCAAACTACAGACTTTCTGAAGTCATGCATCACTCTGTGAGTGTGTGTGTGTGTGAGAGAGAGAGAGAGAGAGAGTGAGAGGAATTAATTGCCTTAAAAAGTTCCACTGGAGTAAACCATGAAATGTCACTCTGCTTGTAGATTTTATCCAAATATCTCATATAAGCTTTCCTGCCTAAATCATACACGCACTTCAGTACATGAGCAAAACATCACGGCAATGATATGGGTACTGCATTATGCTTCTTAAGAAACTGCCATGTTGATTGACAAGAGTATGACACATGGCATTCAAAAGACAGGAAAAATATTCCAATTGCTGGGGAAAAAAATAGATTTAGTAGAAAAGTATGCAATAGAGAAACCTACGAAAAAGGACAATGTCAGCATAGATTAGACAAAATACTAGGAAAAGCACTTTTTGGAGAAGTCTTGGAGAAGGACAACTTCCGAAATATAAAATCAATATAACATACAAGATCGTTGCCAGATAACCCCCGTACATCATGATTCACATAAGTAATATTGAAAATTAGTTTCAACATTGAAAAAAAAATTGTTAAAAAGAAGAAAAAATGATAAAGAAGTGTATGGCTCCATGTACGAGGTTTTCAGACTCCTTTCATTGAGCTTCTGCAAGCAGCTCATTCTAGCTGCCCTTGAGTACCTCCGAACTATTATAGCAAAATAATGACAACACAATCATACCGACGCCTATAATTCATGCCGAATGCTCGTGAGTATCTCCTAAATATAAAATCTGAAACGATGACATACCTTCAAGCTGATTGAACTTAATGCTGCGCTCCAGAACTCCCACTGACCGTGACCGCTGAGCGAAGTATCCGTGATTTGGATCATACAATGCGGAATGTATGAAATCGCGAACCTGACGAGAGTTACTCATCGAAATCCATAACTCCGAAATGCGAAATGTGAGGCAAAAAATAAATTAACAAAAAAAAAAAACCGATATATGCTTACAAGAATCGGCTCGTCACCAACAATGTGAGTAGAGAAAAGACATTGAGATAGAACGGCGCACGATCGTTGACATGAAATCACTGCAACGAAAAACTAAAGTATTGGAGACGGAATTGCAGAATATGTGGGAAAAGAGAGAATTCGTGTACCTCTGAAAGAGTGGAAGAGCAGAGAAAAACTTCTGCAAGAGGACATCAGTGACGCCATAGCCAGGATGTTAAGCGATTGAAGGAAATTGACAGTGGAATTCGCTGAACTAAGGGTTGAGGTTCTGAAGGGGCAGCCATTAACCCTCGCGCCAAATTAATTTCACCTTTTGGTTAAATTTTTTATTTCATTTTTTCTTTTACGGGCCTTTGGGCTTTTGATTTTCTTTGTGGGGAGTGGGGGACCTGCCTAAACCGGTCGGAAATTTTCTATTTAGATTCTCGATCGCGCGAGGATGGTAGAAATTTTTTTCCCATCACCCAAATGAGGGCCGGACAGATAATAAGGGATGTTCATAGGCAAGGCGAATGGGGCGATAAATTTTTCCCCATTTCTTTTTTATTTTTAAATTATTTTTCAATAAATATTTTTTTCTTAAAGAAATTTTTATTTAATTGTTTAATTTGTAAGGTCTAATTCTCTCGAATATGTATATTAGGTGGGTGGCTAAAGAATAATACATGATTTTTTTGGTGCATATATGTAATAAAGAAGATAATATAATTATTTTATTGTGTGTGTATATACATAAATATTAAAAACAATGACACATGGCAGTGAACGAGAAACTTTAACATTTTACTTATCATAGGATGAACCTCATTTAACTTATCATAGGCCAACTTTAACCTTCTCTACCAAAAAAAAGTATAATTGGATAATATTATTAACATAAATAATTAAATTGAAACTTTTTAAACAATAATATTGTAAAATATATATTTAACTTTAATTTAAAAAATTCGAAATATTGAGTTATATTAAATTCCTTTTAGTTTTGTTATTTATTAATTACTACATTAGTTTATTTGGCAAATTTGTCATCATATTGCATGTGCCAAGTATTATTTGAATAGCACAATCATCTTGGCCAAAGATGTCATGCCCATATAAATAAGAGATGGATAAATGAGTTTCTTAGGTGGTTAGGTTTGATTAATTAAAATCAATACTTGACTTCAAAAAAAGTATAATAATAATAAAATCAATACTATATATATTATTTATTTATTTATTTATATTTTTTTAAAAGGATCAATACTAGATTTATAATAGTTGGTTCGTGAGTTATTTTATAAAAAATTGTAGCCAACTTTAATTGAGAGATAATGTCAAATGGTTGAATCATAATATTATGTATGAATTTAAAGTTTTATTGTTGTTAAGATGGTTTAAAAATATATAATGTCTGTGTAACTTTAACATTCACCCATAGAAAAAAAGGTATATTGAAGAATGTTAAGAAAACAAAACATACATTTAGCCTTTATTTAAAACTCTAACTATAATATTAAATTAAATTCCTTTTAATTTCATTGTTTATTTATTGTCAAATTAGTCTATTTGGCAAATTTGTCATTTTCTTGCATGTGCTATATATTATTTGAGAGGTACTCATCTCCAATAATATATTGTATCATGAGTAACGAGTTTAAAAATTAGGTGGCTAGATTGAATGAATTAAAATAAATAAATGCTAAAATATTATTATTAGTTTGTGAGTTATTTTATCAAAATGTGTATAATTAGTTGACCTTGTTTGCATTTATTTTAAATTTTTGTTCATAACCATGTGAATTAAAGACTTTATATACTGAAAAGTCTAGACAATTAGTTAAAACTTCTTAAAATGTAAATACCAAAAATAGACACAATACCAAAAGTAGACGGGTCAAATTTGCAAACTAACTTGAATTCATTAAGTTTGATATATATATTATCAACGATATTTTTATTGCTTCTCAGCCTCGTCCTTTCAACTTGCACGTCTGTTTATTTGGCAAATTTGTCATTTCTCGACACATGGTACGTATTATTCGAGAAGCCAACCATTTTCACCAAAGATCTCATAGCCTGACAAACAAGAAATTTTCCTTTGAAAGATAGAGAGGAGTTTTAAAATGATAGAGCTTCATTTGCTTATGCATAATATTATACTTGAAACCATTTAACTTTTGGTTTTGATGGTACTATTTGCCTACACAAGAAACATAGCCATGTGGAAGAAATGGGCTTTTAAAAGCAATGAAATATTTAAAAAGGAAATTGACAATCATGATTGAACAAGTGTCACCACTCTCTCTTTTCTTCACCTATAAATGGATGCAAAAAGCCACTTTCTTAGCCATAGAACATGGAAGCAAACCTTAAACATAAAAAAGACAACAATAATAAATTGAAACCAAACCAACTGCAATAAATAATTCATACAGAAAATTAGGTTTAGTCCCGAAATTTAAAAAATTATATCTAATAGAACACTAAATTTTGAAAAGTATTCTTCCAGAGAGTTTCAAACTCTCTTTAAATGTCGTGTCTGATAGATTCAAATATACCTTTTTTTTATTGTCTCATAAATCTATGAACTATTTGTTACGTATTAGTTATGATATTGAAAAATTAGAGATTCGTTAGATTTTTTAGTTCAAGGATTATAGGGATCAAACTTATTCCAGATCATGTGAATGAGATTTAATTCAATTTAAAGTTTTTATTTAAAAGTCGACACCACGTTGAAATGTCAAAATTTCAAGTACGCTAAAAACTCATATTTTTCACATAAATGGTATATACTGTGACTTCTTATAAATAATAGAGGCAAGAGGTCATTACTTATTTTACTTTATTTTTCAGTTCAATGATAGGGGGAAATTTGAACTATCGAACTTTTGCTTGATGATATATAACTTAGTCAATTATGTTATGTCCAAGTTGGTGACTTATTTTAATTATGTTATCTTATCATTCGTGTGAATTTAAAATAAGTTGTTACAAATAAAATATGATCAATGTGTTAAAAGCGGTTTTAACTTTTTATACAATAAGCAAACATTTAAAAACTAGCGATGTCTTTTTTTGCTTTAATAATCAACTAATCAAGTATGGTATTATCATGTATAAATACATAGGTAAAAGAAACGTATATAAGTCAACACGAGCATAATTTAACTAGTTAAAGCACTGTATAGAAAGATATGGATGTACGTACAATAGTGGTAGATATATTATGTTTTATATGTAGACCTAATAAATAAATAACTTTTAAATTAAATTATTAGCCTACCCCTAAATAAGTTGAACACCGAGCATCGTGCTTATTTTAATATTTTAATTTTTAAATACTAATTAAGTACCTTTTCAAAATATTTTTAGAAATAAAAAAAAACACACTTTTGTTTATGCGACCAAATAACACGTTTCAAACTATTTTTAGAACTAAAAAATCAAACACACACTTTTGTTTATGCAGCCAAATAACACGATAAGCTTAGAGTTGGGTGTGTATTTGACATATTTTTGTAAAATGTATTTTTGTATTTATTAAAATAATAGTTTTTTTTTTCAAACACATTAAAAGAGTAGTTAAAGTGATCATTCAAAACGTTTTTTTTGTACAAGAAATTTAAGGATACGGGAAATGAACTTCCAACCTAAAGAATACACGTCAATTACGGGTAAGTTATGCGCAGCTCATGCATTCAAAGTGTATTTTAACGGCTATTTATTTGTCTTTTAAATTTTCCAAATCAGTTTTGATTATCCAAACATTTTAAAAAGTATTGAAAGACACTTATTTTCATCCCTTAAAAATTTTAATTGAATACTATCAATTTTTTAAACAAACGCTTTAAAAAACATGTCAAACAAGCACTAAATTACGAGTTTAATTACTAAATTTTAATAAGCGAAGTTATTCAATCTATGAAATACCTTTAAAAGTTTTAATCAAATTATTACACTTCAGAACCATGATTTTATTCCTGAAGTCCATCCATCGTGTTATTAACACTACAACGAAATGGATTTTCTATTAAACAAAAATTAATTGATTCTGTACATCGTAATATGAAATATGACAAAAATAAAATAAATAAATAAATAAATAAAAAGCCAGAGTCCAAACATCCCAAGCCATGTCTGATTTGATTCCAGCAGTTTAGAAACACAATGGTCTGATAAGATTCATTGATTTGTCCACTTTGCCCCCAATATTTTGTCTTATTTTTCTTATATAATTTCTATAATGTCTTTTAATTAATCCAAATAAAGTAAGCTTTGAGAGTGGTGTTTTAATTGAGTTGAAGGAATGTGGGGCTGTGAATTTGTGATATATGTATCATTATTGGCCTTTTGGGTGTGGCCTTTAGTGAGTTGACTTTAGTTTTATTTTGTCTTTTTTGGAGGAGAAAGTGGGAAGAAAAAAAAATATATATGTCAAATTAAATCTTCATATAAACTATCCGAAATGTCTCATTCAATTAACGAAAACATAAATAAAAATATTATTTTAAYATTATCGATTTTTATAATAAATATTTAAAAAATAATTACAACGAATATTTATTCAAACAAATTGATTTTCACATTCAATTTTTATTTTATTAATTGAAAAATTTAGAGAAGAAGTTGGCAGCCAACATATATCAATTAATTGACGATTTATGGCAAAAACCAAGTTAAATTTAACCTTGTAGATGTCCAGATCTCAAATAATTATAGTCCACACATTTTTAAAATATTTAATTCAAATAATACATATATACAATACATTAATAAAAAGCATTATGTAGCACATTAAAGTTGTATGCATCGGCAAGAAATGGAAAAGTATATATATATATATAATAAAAATGATTTAATATTTTTATTTAATTTTTAATTTTTAATTTTTTTTGGTTCCCTATGAGGATGAGCTAAGGTATGGCTAGTTGTCAACCATGTGGTGGTTATTAATAAAATAACAAAACAGATTAAACCATTTTTGCTTTGGACAGCCATAAATAAAAATAACCAAAATCCAGATAAGCTACAAAATTCTCCATTTCGTCACCCAAGGAAAGGAAAAACTGTTATAAATATATTTTGTAAATTCAGAGAATTTGCTATCCTGGTTATGGGTAGCGTGTCCATGCATCCAAACATGCCTAATCTTTTTGAGAAATTGAAATAATGCCACTTATAAAAGAGGTTATTTATAGTAATTTCTATGTATTTTCCGGCACCAAACATTATAGGATCAGACGATTGTCTCTTGAGATTAGTCGAGAAGTACGTAAACTGGCTCGGATACTCACGGATATCAAAAAAACTAAAAAATAAAACCTTTGCAAAAAAAAAATAGACTATTCATAAAATAAAATTAATGTTTAAGGGGAGAACCAAGAAAATAAAATTTCATCTATTGTTTGGAGATCTCTCGTGGAAAAAAAAAAGGTTTTTCAAAAAGTAAAAAATTTGTTTAAACAAGCGTAAAAATAACATATGGATATTATTTACCATATTTTGATATTTGAATTATTACGTCTATTTTATTTTATAGTCTTTAATTTTGATCTTAATCATTCGACACATTTTTTTTTATCTATTTTGACACAAAATTCCATTCACATAAATATAGAATTCATATACTATTTCAAAAGATTACATCACAAATACAAGATAGATTCCAACATGAGTCTAGCTCAATTGGTTGAGAAATTTCGATCAAAAGCTCGTGTGCTTAAACTCCCACCTTCACATATTGTTAAATAACAAAAATATAGATGAGATAGATACGTCGTAGCCTACTTATATGGCCATTCTCATACATTACTTAAACACACGTGGGTAAATGTGACGTTATGTTTTTTTTTTAATCAAATATAGTACAACAATTTAGCTACATAAACAATATCAGATAAAAAACACTTTTGATCCAAATACTTTGATTAATATAATGATTTAATCTCTAAACGTTAACCTATAATGATTTAGTCTCTATAGTTTCGAGTCGGTAACACAATTTAGTCTTCCCTAAACTCGAGCATATAACAATTTAGTATTTGCTATTTAAAAGATTGTAACAATTGAATCTCTATTCTGATCAAGAATCTCATGTCACTTTTTACTACTTGTCATTTGTAATTTATGAATACATTTAGCCCATCATCAATTTTTTTTCTTTTTGTATACAAGTGGAGGTGAGATTCGAGCTCACTATCTTTTTAATCGAAAATAGATGTCGTAATCAATCAAACTATGTTCAAGCAATCCCTCGTTAATTTATCGATCTACGTACATAAAAAATTTCATTCGATCTTAACAACACTAAATGGCCTAAAAGTGTCTTTAACCGATAAAGAAACAAGAGAGATATTTAATATATTACATAAATTTAAACTCACATACCTTTTGACATTAAACTTGTGAGTGATAAATGATAATACAAGAAAAGTACCTAGGTTTCAGAAGTGCTTTTACATGTCAAAGAAAAAAAAAGTGCTTTTACTTTTTTTTTTTAAGCAATAAATGCCAAAGTATTTGAGTAAAAGTAGCAATTGATTGCATCCATCATGTTTCTGTTCAAAAGCACTGCTCCACCTTGCAGCCTATTGCTTTCAAGTTGAGGGGAGGTCTTGTCAAGAAAGACAATCCAACCCAACCACCATACTTGGAAATTTGGAACACATTTTTGTTTCAAACCCTCTCTCTTTTTCACTTATTTACATCACTATCACCACACACACAAAAAAAAAAAAAAAAAAAACAATTTATTGGCTTTATTCTATAGTGTTTATTCAATTAGTCCGAGCGACACTTAGAAAAATATTGGTCTAGCCATATATAGAAGTAGTGGACTAGAAACCCGGCATTGTATTGGATAACAGCTCCCAAATCGTAATAAATGTGGGCAAGGACGATCGGAGTTATATTTAAGTTGAAATTGCCTTAAAATTTATGAAATTTGAAAATTTATTTAAAAAAACGAAGAAATGATAGTAGCACATTATTGTTTTTATAGGTCTTGTTATATTCAATGTGAATAGTTTAGATAATATGTTCAAAGCGACCCTTGACTGGACAATACAAGCTATAAGAATGACGTAGAAAGCAACCCCTATTTCGAGGGTGGATGCACCTTTTTCTTGTGATAGGTAGAGATCTAGAGCATTCTTTTATGTAGGAGGTGTGGGTCTATCTACAAGTTTGAAATTCTCCCACCTATTGTTGAGAAATAAAATAATATAAAAAACACTTAGAATAAATACTTGGTGTTTCTCCTCCGAGCATTGTTTTTTAGATTGTGTGTTGATGTCGAAATTCTAACCCATTGAGTGGATGAGTCGACAGGTAAGGGAGCGAGATATCTAAATGAAGGTCTGTAAATAGAGAGTAGACACTCTGATGTTAAAGTGAGTATTGATTCGAGTCATTAACTCACAAGACGAGTAATCAATGTATATATATATATATATCACATGCCTGATGGAATGTCTCTATAATATAGGAGTGAGTTGGTGGGTCCCGTTTATTGGATTGTTATAACATTATCATGATGTGTGATGCATTGTTGGAAAGACGGTTGAGTAGTTGTGATATAGCTCATCATTGGCTGAGCTATAATTAAAGCTAAGGTACTCTATGACTGAACTATCATTTTTGTCTGATGTATTACTCTTCGTAAAATGAGTCTGAAGCTTCATACCTTAGTTTATTATCAGCTCATCATATTAGCCCACGTGTCACGTCGTTTTTCATCATTTAACAATGTGTTTGGGAGTGTATTTGAAACAAATACTTTTAGTATATATATACTACACATATACATGTTTTAGTACAATAAATTATGATACGAGAGTTTGAACCTCAAATATCTTTAAAAAGAAAAAAAAAAGAGTTTGAACCTCAAATGAATAGGTACCAACTATGACAAAACTATATTCATGTCGGTAGTAAAAATATATTTAATAACTAATTATTTTGTTGTTTGGTTATACACTTTTAGGAGTATTTCTAAATACTTATCTAACAAACTTGTATTTAAGAAAAAAATTAATAGATTAAAATGGTCTCATAGTCCTCTCACAATACCCAAATAATTCAAATCATACCACCACATCTGACAACCATTTATTTTTAATTTTGTAAAACATATATAGGTGCTTATCGGTCAGAATTAATCTCATGCCGACTGCTATTAAAATTTTGACAAATAAGAAAAAGAAATATAGAAAAAATAACATATTTTTTTAAAAAATAAATAGCTGTTAAAATTTCAGGAAAATTTATTTGCTCGTAATACATGCAATTAAAAACTATATATATTTTTTAGTTTCCAACAATTTTATTATTATTATTATTTTTACATAATCCAAAGAACCGTTTTAATGAACTTAAATTCTGGAAAAAAAAATGGTGGGTACTAAATAAATCCAATCATAAAAGGCGAAGACTAAATTTAAAATTCAACATTTCATTTGTTAACATCGCTATCAGCTTCCTCTCTCTGCTAAGAAAATGGCGAGACCCACCAGCTGGCCGCCCTGCTTTGGCTGGCCTCCCATTTTTTTGGACTAACTCTGTTCCCCTTATCCATCCATAAATTAAAATAAATTCACCTCTTTCAGTTTCATCATCCCCCTTTCGTTCTACACTCCAATTGAAAAAAAAAAGAACGCCAATTACCAATCGAGAGGTCCATCCTCCATTAATGGCGGCGAAAGCTTCAAATTCCTCATGTGGGTCGAACGAAGAAGACAATGAAAAATTTAATGATTTTAATTTTGATTTTGATCAGTGTAAAAAATCAAATGGGTAAGTTTCTGCGGACGCCATGGACGATGGGTTTAAGTTCTAGAGAGAGAAACAGGGGAAAGAAGAGAGAGGGTCTGTGTCTGAGGTTGGAAAGTGCTTAGATTTACGATGATGTTTTTTGTCGGAATCACTTTGAGCAGAAAAAGAAAAGAAAAGAAGAAAAAGAAAATCGAGTTCTTCGGCAGAGGCAGAGAGTTGTTTATTTATGGGATTCTGTTCACTTTGCTTAAATTGAAAAAAGATTAAAGAATTTTGACGGAAAAGAAAAGAAAAAGAGAAAAAAAAAGAGTTCTAAAAATCAATCACATGGCAAGTAGACTGCAGGTTGCCGTTTCTGATTTAGCCTTTTACCCACGCTCATACAGAACTCTCACTGACAGAGACAGAAGAGAGAGAGAGAGAAAGAGGGGAGAGAAAGTTGGGACAGAGACACACTACGCAGAAACATCGCTGTCCAAGTTCTTCCTTGACCCGTTTGCGGGGCTCCGGACCCGACCCGATTGGCCGTTTTCGTTTTATCCGGTGGATATTTTTCTTTCACTTCTTTGCTCTCTCACAATTGTTATTTTTTCCCTTGTTTTTCACTCGCCGGAGCAAAATGCTCTCTGGGTTTTCGCAGGAAGCGGCCGGAATGTACTCGGCCATTCCGGCGCTCCCGATCGACGGCGGCGTCGGCGTCGGCGTTGGCCACGGCAAGTTTCAGGGTTCTCTCGACGGAACGAATCTCCCCGGCGACGCTTGCCTGGTTCTCACGTCGGATCCGAAGCCCCGCCTCCGCTGGACGGCGGAGCTCCACGAGCGATTCGTCGACGCCGTCACTCAACTCGGCGGCCCCGACAGTGAGTATTATTATTACTTTTATTTATTTAACTCCTAATTGCTTTTCTTCCTTGCAATCCGGCTCTGTGTCTCTGCAATGTTGAATGTGGTCTATTGGGGTTTTTTTCCCCTTTTTTCTTGCAATGTGTAACTATGGAAACTCTGGGTTCTTGTTTCTCTGCATATATGGCTGTGTTGAGATTTTTGTGCCGTGGATTTTATAAGCAATTCCTCTCCATTTTCCATTGTTTATTGTAGTTTTTGACATGTTGGTTCCTTTTTACTGTAATGAAAAGTTTTCTTCAACAGCTGAAGTTGGATAATCAGTTTGCCTCATGGATTTGGGAACCTCCCTCTCTTTCCAACTTCTTCTCAAAGAAATTGACCATTGAGTAGAAGAACAGTAAGGGAGATTTTAGTGATTTTTTCTTTTCTTTTGCTGTGCTTTTGGCTCATAAGAAATTATGCACTCGATTCTGGCTCGACGATGGAGGAGGTGTTGTTACACTACCATCTGGAGACAAAGGGAAGAGCTCATTTCTCTCTGTCTTGTGTAACATTTGGCTTGAGAGAAATAGGAACATTTTCAAAGAACTTTATAACTATATTTTGTCTACTATCCTCGACTCGACAAACCGTGTCCCTTTATGTGTCTATGACCAAGAAGTTGTATAACTTTAGTTTTTGGTTTTTATTCTTTTTTTCGGCTCCTTTTGAGGGGTTTTTTTTTCTTTTTTTGTGGGTGTTTGTCCATTTGTTTCTTTCATTTAAGTTAGGTTTCCATTTTTCTTTTAAAATAAGCTCTCCTAGAAGTAGTGTGTGTCAAAAAAAAATAAAAATAAGTGTGGTTGCGAGATTCCTCTGCAAGATTACACTTCTCAGAGGCAAAACGCCAAGCTACTCCTTCAAATCCTGTCATCTCTAAGTTTTCAATCGCCATTAACGCATTAATCCATGGAAGTTCGATTTTTCCTTCAATCATTCGGTACCAACTCAAACAAGTTTGAGATCAACAGTTAGATCAGTATGCGATGATGACAACTTCTCTAAATTCTTCATTTTGGCCTATGGCAGTATGTGTAATTCTAACCTCTTATCTTCCTGTAAATTGCTGTCCTATTTAGTGCTTCTAAACTTCACAACTGTATAACCTTTCTACACAAGGCTAAGACCAGAACTTTAGTAAGAAAATGAATTCGGCTTCGTTCTGTTTGGAAAACGGTTGTGTTGCCCAATAGGAAGGATCTTATCGATATATTGGACAAGTTTTATGTTTTAATAGATGCTAGAGAGCTATATCATGGAGTTGATAGTGTTTTAGTAGAGTTTTAGGATGTTTTGGATCTATGGCCTCCTCTTGGAGAGGAGTGCCCTTTCTAAAGAGTTCTACAATTCTTTCCCTTGTCTTATTTTTGCTAAGTGGAGGGCATTTTGGCTTTGGCTTGGGGTGTTTTCTTTTCTTTTGTACGTTATATTTCATTATATTCATGAATTTTTTTCCTATGACTAGAGAACAAGTATATATTTACCATGTGAATGCTAAAGAGAAGTACATGATTTTTTCTTCGTGACATCTATTAAATCACAAATCAACTCAAAAGCTTAAGTTGATGGGTTATGGTAAATTTAATCGTTTCTAGATGGGGTTCGAACACTGGATCTCCTTTTTTGATACCATGTTAAATCATCAATTAACCTAAAAGTTTAAGCTGATTTTGTTAAATCACCCGTGATTATGGTAAATTCTAATATTCATATCTTATTTACTTGAGTCATTTTGACTGGGACTGATTCTTTGGTTCGGGACTCGAGTCGCTGTTGTATACCTTCAATCGTCAATAATCTTAGTTAAGCCTGCCAACTTCACAATAGATGTTTGGGACAGATTTTCCTTATTAATTGTAATTCCATAATACTTAAAATGCATTGATGACCACAGTCATGATTTTGGTTTCTCTGCTCATTGCAGAGGCAACCCCAAAGACTATTATGAGAACAATGGGAGTAAAAGGCCTCACCCTTTATCACTTAAAATCACACCTCCAGGTTTGTTCTTATCACCATCACATTATTCTATTTTCTGACTGAGCCCGACACGCAATTTTACCACGCTTCTCTCTATTGATAAATTTTCATGAAATCCTTTCTCATCTAAAACTTAACAGTCGTTTTTTGCCTTTTATTTGGGGGGGAGGGGGAGTGAGAATAAAGGTCATGTTCATGAACTTTCTCCTCATATTTGGTGTTTGTCCAGAATTCGTCTCATCGGAAAGTTCTTCCATTGTAGATATTTACACCATATGTTTTCTTGATGCCTTGTGCTGGCAGAAATATCGGCTTGGAAAGCAATCGTTCAAGGAATCGACCGAGAACTCTAAGGATGGTACAAACTTCCTCTTAGTACTTGGCAGTTTCCTTTGTTCTATTGCATACTTACTGCATTTCATGGAATGAAACATCAAATAGTTCAAATTGTGGGACATGCTTGCCCTTTTTATTTAGAGAATGACATATCGACTCCCCCGAAACACCGGTTTTCACATATAATTAGTGGGTGTTGTTTGAATTTTTACTAATGCTTCTTGGAGGTAAGTCCTTGCACCCAAGAAAAAAGTTTAAATGACTCGTCGGTATGGGCTTTCAGCTTCTTGCATTGCAGAAAGTCAAGAAACGAGTTCCTCTTCGTCCCCATCGTCCAGAATAATGACACAGGATCTGAATGAGTAGGTTCAAGTTTTTCTTTTGATCTTATGGCATTCCATGCTTATCTGTCTCTCTTCCCTTGAGTGTGTTTTTATATTTTTGAACAGTGGTTTCCAAGTCACGGAGGCTTTACGGGTGCAAATGGAGGTTCAAAGAAGGCTACACGAACAACTGGAGGTTAGAAAGCTCCCCACGCTGCTAAATTCTTCCAACCTGAGACTGTTGCCATAAATCTTGAGAAAACTCACTCTTTTCCGTTTTCAACTCCATGTTTTTACTGTATGCAGGTGCAGCGTCATCTCCAACTTCGCATCGAAGCACAGGGAAAATACCTGCAGTCGATACTCGAGCGGGCTTGTCAAGCATTGAGCGATCAGGCTGCCGCGTCAGCCGGGCTCGAAGCTGCCAGGGAAGAGCTCTCAGATCTGGCTATCAAAGTCTCCAATGACACTAAAGACATGGCACCATTGGAGACTCAAAAAGTGCTTCCCTTTTCAGAACTTGCTGCTGCTCTAGAAAACCGAAAAGCTCCAACTGTTATGGCTCGAATCGGCGACTGCTCCATGGATAGCTGCCTGACATCGGCTGGAAGCCCGGTTTCCCCAATCAGAGTAGGTACAACTGCCACCGCAATGAAGAGACCAAGACCCGTATTTGGAGATTCAATGGCTCTCGAGGGCAATGCGCGTCATGAAGTCGAGTGGATGATGAGTAATATTGGATGAAACTCAGGACTTTCCCTTTCTAAAAAGTCCAGCCTTTTCTTCTGATCAACTTTCTTTTTCTTGATTTCTCTATGTAGCTCATCTAAATGTTCACATCTTTAATGAAGAATTATGTACAATCTGTTTTGTGGTTTGTTGTATATTCTTTGTAAACAGACCCTTTTTTGGTTGTTGGAGTTTCTTTGTTCTCCACCCTTTATTTGACATTCTTCTCAGTTTGTTTATTAGAGAGTGATCTTAGTTTGCTTTTGGGAATGGGAAACTTTCATATGGATGTTCCCTTTGTATATTTCAGTCTCAAAGGAAACAAAGTGCTAATTGGCCAACTTTTGAAATTATGCCAAATCAGCATTGTTTTATTTGGGTGCTTGGGGAAACATCAACCTTTCCTCTTTCTACTCTTTAACTTTTGATTCATTCCAGTCTCTCGGTACTTTTAAAATGTAATTTGATCATTGTATTTTTTGAGTCTTTATTTGTAGAAACTTAACACAAATTTTACGTACAATAAAAATCCTTTAATACAAGTAATGATTATATTTCAAAAAATTTAGCCTGAAAGTATCACATTGAAATTATGAGAGAAATAAATAGATAAAAATAGCAACTTTTAGAAAAGAAAAAAATTGACAAAAATAATAATTTTTTAAAAAATGGACTAAATTATACTCTTCGAAAGTACATTTACTAGTACACCAAAATAAATAATAGATATTTTAAAAAATACTATAACCAAAATGAAGCAAACTTAAAATTACAGTATTATAGAAAAGGGGTAAATTGCAAAAGTTACTCTTTTATCTAAGACTGCAGACATTCTTAACCATACATTATATTATAACACAGTTTTGTATTTTTATCTTAAATTAACCTTTGTTCTTTGTTAATACCAATGAAATAGCTAAAATTATATTTTGAAATTAAAGATGAATGGTAAATATTACTATGGTTTAATCCTGTTTTCCAGAGTAATAATTAATTCAAGCATCTTTTATTTAAGATATCTATCGTGCTGCGACTAGCATGTTAAGATCAACCATTTGGATAACGTGATATCTTTCTTTCTCGATCGTTATCTCGACCGTTTAATTCTCCCACAATTTATTAAACTGAAAAAATACATAAATATTATGCTAAATAAAATACTAAGAGACATAAATATTAGAATATTCTCCCATCTTCCTTGAAAGATATTTAAAAGCACAAGGCATATAGGATTATACTTATGCAGAGCTGCTCTGTTTTCAAAGAAATCCATAATGGCATCTCCACTTTGGACCAGTCCGCTACCCAAATCGTATTTTTCTTCTCTCTTTTGCTTTTCTGTTTCCCACCCGAGAAATTTAGAATACCTCGCTTCTCAGTGTTTCCATGGAAGATTCGCCTGGTGAGTACAAATTTCTTCACAGTTCCACGTTTTTTTCTTTTTCTCGAGGAAGAAAATAGGCTTTTCGTTTTGCAGTTCTTACGCGTAAGAGAAATTAGTCTGTTCGTCGTCTTGGAATCTTCTATTTATTTATTTATTTTTGCGAAAATTTTTAATATAAGTTCCGTGGTTTGCTGTGTGCTGAAATAGAATTCTTCTGGCTCGTTGAATGTTGCTCGTGGTGCCGATGGTGCAATCTAGGGGTTTACTTCGATGTTCAAGCCATTTTTGACTGGTTGCTTTGAATTTACGTTAAATTAAATATATAATTTGCTATGAACATAAGTATCTGGTTGAAACCCCGAACTGAAATTTTATACCAGGGTTGTTCCCAAATGAAAGGGCTGAAGTTTGAGGGTAAGGAAGATGCATAAGGATGGATGACTGAAAATCTGGAAAGGATGCGGTTTTTGCAAGTGATGCAATTTGAACCAAATTAGTTGTCTAGTCTAGAAATTGGAGGAAGATATTGTGGCTGAGGCTTTGGGAAAGGATGGATATCTGGAAATTTGTTTTTGTTGTTAGAATGTACAGATGTAATTCTACTACTTACTAGTTGGAAGAATGAACTTGTTTTTAGTTTTTTTCTCTTTACTTGGCAATACTCTGGAAGAAACTTTGGAGTGTACCTGAAATTCCTTTTCGGGGTTTCAAGTGGATGTAAAGTAAATGATTGATGAAAGAGAGGAAACTACTTCTAAAATGCTTGTATATGTAGCATTTTCTCTTTCATTTTTATAGACAAGAAACGATAAACGTTGCAACTTGTACGGTCTTACAACGAACGGTTCTGTGTATCCCTAATCTCAGGTCATTTTTGGCTTTATGACAACTTCAGGAATTGCTATCTTGCTCATTCATAGGATACACTGATATTGTTTTCATTTGACTTGTCAGGCACACATTGATTTTCTCTATCTTTTATTCTAAAGGAGCATCTCATTCTTGCCCTCGTGTCCAAAGTTGGAAGCATGTTTCTCTGCTGCAGCTCATCAAATAAATATAAGAGATTGGATGCAAAGCTTGGAAGAAAAATGCTTGAAGTAAAAAAAAATTCAACTGGACATGACAATTTCAAGTCACTAAATGGCATAATCTTGAGATTTCCTCAATTCAAAGAGGGGTTGCAAAACATCAGGGGTGTGTTTGAGCAGTATGGTGAGCTTTTCTTTTTCGATCTGCGTCACTCTTTCTGAGCTTCTCCTGCTCAAGATTTTCTCACAGTGTCTCTCTCTCTCTCTCTCACAGATGAAGATTCCAATGGAAGCATTGATCGTGCAGAACTCAAAAAATGCTTACAACAGCTGCAAATGCATATGACTGAGGAGGAAGTCGAGGATCTATTCCGCTCTTGTGATATAGATGGTAGCTCTGGAATACAATTTAACGAGTTCATCGTTCTCCTATGTCTCATTTATCTCCTTAAGGACGAGCATTCGCAGACCGTACACACAAACAACCTTAGTGACCCCTCCCATTTCATTCAGTCTTCAACCTGTTTATTATTCTGTTTATCATTCTTGGCATAAGCGTAACCATCCTGAAGCTTTGTTGTTACAGGAATCAAAGCTGGGTTCACCTCAACTTGAAGCAACTTTTGATACAATCATCCAAGCTTTCATATTTCTCGATAAAAACGGCGATGGCAAGCTCAACAAGAAAGAGATGGTCAAGGCTCTGAACGAGGGTTCTCCGAGCGAGAGATCCCCGGCACGCATTACAAAGACAAGATTCAGTATTGCTCCCTTCACTAAAGATACTCCTTCCATTTTTTTTGTCTAGCAAAATCATCCTAGAAAGTTCAAACATGTCGATCTTATCTGGTCAAATAACGTGTTGAATCCTTTTGAACTGTTTTGATTTTTTTATTTTATATTCATTTCCCCCCTGTTTTCTCAATGGATGCAGAAGAAATGGACTGGAACAATAGTGGGAAGGTCAATTTTAGGGAGTTTCTGTTTGGTTTCATTAACTGGGTTGGAATTGGCATGGATGATGATCTCTCTCTTACATGAAGTGTAAACACAGCAGCGGACATCAAGACACCATGGAGACAATGGCTGAAAAAAATAAGGTCAGAATGATATCTCATATTCAAAAATGAAAGACTTGTCTAGTGATTATAGTGAGAGTGAGACTACTCTTGTTTGTTTATTTCATTTGACGAATTGTAATGTTTGGACGACCATGTGAATTAGATTATAGAATGTTATTGTCATCGTCATCGTCATTGTCATCATCATCGTCATTGTTGTTACTGTATATATATCGACTCGTAGAATCTGATCTGGTGAAAGCTAACTGAAGAGAGAGTGGTTAATTTGAAACAACTTCTATAAGCATATGTAAGCCTTCATTTTTTGCTCTTTTTATTGGGTAAGGCAGTTGAATCAGACCCTTTTTTCCCAAAAGAAAAATGTATATGACATTGATTTGGATTGCTTATGAAATGTTCCTGAATTTTATGGATAGTACATTTGGATTTTTTTTCCTGAGGTAATATTTCTTTAAAAATGGTTTAAAGGTGATTTAAAATGTATTTTATGTCATTGTTGCGATTTTATACTCTTTTCGCTACCCATTCTAATAAAGAAGTCAACATGAACATAGTCTAGTGCTAATCGACATCTACTCCATCTACTCCTTCATGTAAACATAATCAGTGTGATAGGCAAAATTTTGCAAACACATTATGTACCTATAATTTCGAATAACCAAATTTTCAAATAGATCCAACCATTGTAAGTTTAGAGGTACAATTGTAACAACCCTAATTGTAAGGTGATTTTCCAATTTGTCCTTTTAAGTATAATTCAAATTAAATTATGAAATTTATATCATATTTAAGAAAATGGAAAGTTGTAATATTTTTCATGTTTAATTTGTATTATAAAGTAAAATTGCTAAAAAAAAATCACTTTTTGGGAGGGATGTCCATTTTCGAGTGAGTTATATTCAAATTAGCAAGATATTAATAAAATATTTAAAAAACATAATGAAAACCAAAGACTTTGTAAAAAGTGCTTTAAAAAAAGACTTTATAAAAATATTATTCCAATTAATAAATCAGCATTTTCTTCTCACAAGTTAAAGAAATTCCAGTGCGCTTGTCAGCGTGTCACACGCTCAAAAGAGGGCGTGGACTACACGTCAAGATCCGCCAAAATAAGATACTGATAGGAGCCACGTGGCAGATCATACGGCGTCGCATCTGGCGTGGAAGAAAATTTAGTAACATGGTCCTGAAATTGACGCTTCTCTCAGCTCGTGTCGTCTCTATCATTTTTCAAAATTTCTCTCCCTCTCTATAATTTTCCATTTCTCTTATCTCAAAAAAATAAAAAATAAAAAATCCATTTCTTTGAACGTTATAAAATTATAATCCTGAATCCTCACACTACGTTTGTTAATCGACTGTTATGGTAATTTATTAGGGCTTTTAAATCCGAGATAGCGAAAGTTGAAACCCCCACCATTGATGAACTTTGTCTCTTCTTTCAACTTAACTTCCACACTTTCCGAGTTTACCATTCCGTTCTGATAAAATTGTTCCCGCGGTTGCTGTTTCGTAGCCGAGGATTGAAAGCTAATGGAAGTTGGAAAGAAATGAGTTCCTGTTTGATTTTTACACCCCCGTGCTGTTTAAGCTTTTACGACCAGTGATGCTCGCTGTATTGGAGTTAAGTTTGCGGTTAGATATCGATTTCGAAGTGAAAGTTTTAACTTAGAATCGTTGATTTAGAAAGTGATTCATTAGATTCCCTCAACTTTTCACTGGCGAAAACGGAGATTCGTTTTTTTTTTTTTCTTTTTTGTGGTTTGGTTGCTGGTATCGATCTTATTTCTGTTCGTGATTGACTGATGTGGCTTTGCCTATATTAGCAAACTAGAAAAGTAGTTTTTCGTGTTTTTTCGATTGGATTCCATTGGATATTGAAGTTACTTTGTGGGAAATGGCTTGCCAAGCTATACAACTGTGGACATTTAACGGCTTAGTAGCTGCATTTCTTGATCTTGGTATAGCTTATCTTTTATTATGTGCATCAAGCCTTGTTTTCTTTACCTCCAAATTTCTTGCACTGTTTGGATTGTGTCTGCCTTGCCCTTGTGATGGGCTATTTGGGAACCTTAGTAGTGATCACTGCTTCCAGAAGTTACTAGTGGATCGTTCATCCAAGAAAATATCTACAGTCCTACACTCGACTAGGGAAAAGTTCCCATTGGATTCCATGTGGGATCCAGAGCCAAAACGTTGTTTCAAGTCAATGTTGGTGGACCCGAGGAATGTGGAGGAGGCAAACGTTGAATTGGAAGGTGAAGCATCAGGTAGTTCCTTTTCTAAAACCAGACCAGAAGGTACGATCTATGGAGACTTTTCCGGTGTAACGGACTTGGATGCTGTGGCGGGCTTGGCTTACTCAAAGGAAGAAGGAAAGTTTTATAATATGGGGAATGGAGTTTCCTTTGAGAGACCAGGAAATAGTCTTCACCATCGCTGCAAAGGCGGTGTCGGTCACAGGAAGGTTATATCGGTGTTTTCAAAGGACATCTTACGGTTGGATATGGAAGACGTTTCTCAGTCTCCTTCAAGCTTTAGCGAATTTGGGGATCACGATACAGAGGATAGCTTCTTTTCTGTTGATTCTGAAGGTGATTAACATTCAATGTTTACCATTTGTGATTATTTCCTATTAGTTCAACTTAAAAAGTTACGATCATTATGCTGCTTAAAGTTCCTTTCATGCCAGTTCTGAGCTTATTAGGATAAAAAAATGGTTCACAACTGTCTTCTGAGCTTCATTTTTATTGATAGTATGGCTAGTATTTATCCTGACGACCCTAAATTGTCGCGGATTTAATTAGAAAGTTGAGCATTTAGAAGTTTACCTATTGTACTTATGGAAACCGGATTAAATTTTTAATATGCATTTTGAACATTAAGTATTTGATGTTTCGGGTGATTCCCTTTTTAGACAAGTCCGGTGTATTTAATTTTCAAGGGAATGTCTTGAACAATGTGGTAAGACTTTTATATACTTGGTCATGCCCATTTCTTCATTCCTTATTTTATTTTACCATGATTCTTTAATGGAAGTTTTGAGTTTCCTTGTAGTAGAAATTTTGCAATTTTTTTTGTCACAAATTTTCATGGTAATAACTGGAAATCTGGGTATTGTACTTCATTGTAGACGGAATAGAGGCTTCGTTTGACAATAGCGATCAAGATAAAGTATTTCCAGTTCTTGAACTGGATGATTCTCGCGATGAGAAAATATGTGTGGAGATGTATGAATCATCTGTTAAAAAGGCTGGGAACAACTCCAGTCCCGAGTTACACTTGGATGGTAATGAGAGTGATACAATCAAACTATTGGAACGAGCACTTGAAGAAGAGCAGGCGGCTCGTGCTACCCTGTACCTGGAACTTGAGAAAGAGAGAAGTGCCGCTGCCACTGCTGCTGATGAGGCTATGGCTATGATATTACGCCTTCAAGAGGAGAAGGCATCAATAGAAATGGATGCCAGGCAATACCAGAGGATGATAGAGGAGAAAACTACTTATGATGCTGAAGAAATGAGCATTCTTAAAGAAATTTTAGTGAGGAGAGAGCGGGAAATGCATTTCCTGGAGAAGGAAATTGAGGCTTATAGGAAAAGTTTCATTGGAGATAAATACGATGGAATGGATGTTGATATGCTTGACTTGGAAGTTACGCCTCAAAGGACCCCTTCTTTCCCCTATTCAACTGAAGATCCATCTCATATGCTTCAATGCATTGATAGATCAATTAGTGAGAAGCAAGATGTAAATTACACAAAACATTCTTTGCAACACGAGACCCCATCGCTTGAGTCACGGAACTTAACTTTTGAGTTTGGGGAAGAGTCGTCATTTAGTCAAGTGGATGAACTTGCTGATACTGCGAAAGCTGGGGGCATGCCGTTGGATCAAGTTGCTGATAGCTTAAAGGATGGTGAAGAGATTGACAATGAGTTACAAGAGAAGGGCATGGTGGAAGATGAGAATTCATACATTCTACAAGGAGAAGCAAATGAACTGGAGCCATATCTGCAAAGCAACAAGTCAAATGGTCTGGGCATGGTTGAGAAATCCACGGAATTGATTGCAGATGAATGTGAAAAGGTTGACAAAGTTTCATATGATGAGTTGGCATCGTCTAAGACAATTCTTCCCCAGACCAAATACAATTTGGAAAAGAATGGCGACCATCAAAATCAGCGAACGGAAGGTCTCAACTCTGTGACACATACAGATTCCCATCCTCATGATATTCATGTCATTGATGATGAAGCGAGTGCTAATGCAAGTAAGCAACCAGTGTTCAATGGTACCTCGAGCTTTCCAGTAAAATGTGACGGTCCATCCTTTAGCTTGTTGAGGAGTGAACTAGACATCACAAGAAGCAGCTCAGATGCCACAGGTAGATTTCCACCGATGGCTCCTTCTCGAAGCAATTGTTTGCGTTCTGAGTTGCGGAGAAATTCGATGTCTGCTGTTGATTATGAAAGATCGAAAATTGGCAATGAAGTTGAGTGGCTCAGGGAAAGGTTAAAGATTGTTCAAGAGGGAAGAGAAAAACTCAAGTTCACTGTGGAACACGAAGAGAAGGAGAACAATCAGTTGCAACTTTTAGAAGATATAACAAATCACCTTTGCGAAATCCGACAACTGACGGATCCTGGAAAGGCAACACTGCAGGCTCCATTGCCTCCGTCCTCTAAGGTACACCAGCCAACCTTCAGTTGATTAATATACTATATGCAGAGATCCCTACCTTCTAAAATATAATTTAACAGATCAGTCACATTGTAGAATGAAAATTTTATTCTGTCATTCATCTTGGGGCATGAAAACAGTAAATTTCCCTACATTTAGTGTCTTTGCTTTTGAATTTCTAGAATTCTTTCTGCCTTTCTTATCGTCATCAACCCATTCTTGGCATCAAAGACAGTTTCTTAAATAATCATTGCTGATGATCTGATGGCCCTTTTTTCAGGCTGTGTCAAAGAAACAATGTTGGCGAAGTTCATCTTTAAGCATTCACAGAAGCAGTTAGTTTGGACACCCACTCCCAAACCCAAAAAAAGGGAAAAAGAAAAGGAATATCATGGCAGAACATGATAAATCATCCTCCAGGTTAGGAATTATAGTTTTTTTGCCCCACTACCATACAATATATGTAAATTTGGGAATAAGCTGACAGGTTATGTCTTATAGTTCTAAATGTTTGAAAAGAAATTATTCAATGCAGCTGACTGATAGAATATGGTTGTTGTTTTTGTAACGGTTTAGATGCATGGAAGAGAGATTATCAGATGCTTGGGTTAAGCGTCTAATAATTTATACAAGTAGAAGTAGCAGTCATATTCTGTCAATTCAAATAACTCTCTTTAGCTAGCTTCTGGGATGTCGAAAATCAAACCCGAATCCGAGCAATGATTTATTTGGGGCTATCAGATGTTATTTCTTTCAGTTCTCTTTCAATATTGGAACTCAGACTTATGTTGCTGGGCGTGGTGAGATCGGAATTTTCTTCCCAGCAGGACATGAAAGAGGAGGGTTCTTCACCAGTGAAATTCTTCATATAACTTTTACTTTCAAAGGTTTTTCCTTTTATGTTGATGTGATCATAATTCATTAGAATTAATTTCAAATTAGGATTGAATTATAATATTCTGAAATTTAGTGATATTTCAATGACTAAAAATGCACTTACCTTTTTTTTACCCCCAATATTCAATTTGAATTCTGATCTGGATTTGATAAATCGAAACAATTACGATAGATGTCGAGGTTGGATCTTCCATTTCCACATTACTGTACTAAAAAACTTTAACCTCGCTAAAAATTTGCCTTTCAAACTCTTTGGAATTTCATCACCTTGTTTCTGCTCTTCATGTGTTCACATCTAGTTTTGTACTTTCACCTTTTACTGATGTGTTAGGAAAAATGTTTTGAGTCAAAAGGATAAATTTATATTTCGAGTCAGAAAAACAAATTTTGAATGGTAAACTTAATTTTTTTAGGTCACTGGGTCCATTTTTCATCATTCGATGAACTGTTACAGTTTCCTCATTAAAAATACAGTTCTATCGTTTTACCATTTTCAAAAATTATGCTGGGTTAACCATAATTTATTATTTTATTTTGCACAATTTTTAAGATATATAATCAAAATTATTTTAGCGATGTTTTTAAATTTATAAAAAAAAATTAGTAAAAGTTTAGAGTATTTTTAACATAGGCTTAAAATAGAGTTGTAAAGTAATGAATCATTATAATTCAATTAGGAAACTAGAATGATAAGGTTAAATTACAAGTTTAGTCTATAAATTTACAAATCCCTCCGCTTTAAAAAAATATAAAATAGATTTATAAATATTTAATTTTATATCTAATAGGTCTTACATGTGGGTCTATGAACTTTCAATATTCTACCTATTTGATTTTTTTAAAATTTATTTATGGACTAAATTTTGCATCTAATAGAATTTGTCTAATGAAATAAAAAAAAAAGTCCTAATGGATTTGAAAGAGAGTTCATAAATCAATTAAAATTTTATACTTTAAATATTTTTATCGATTAAAAAACTTATAATCAAGTTTTAAATTTTAAAGACAGCAATGAAAAATATTTTAGTGTTTATCGATGAACATCAATTTTTTATTGACCATAATTCAAGTAAGAGAGATCAATAATTCTATTTTTCACACGAAAATAAGGGTTGAAGAGTCGTTCGTCGACAAAAATCTAAAAATTGAACGACTAAACTGGCAATTCTAAGATAAACATATAATTGATCGAATTTTAAATATATTCTCACCCATTAATTAATTATTATTACTCTGACTACTGCTGAAACTGTGTGTGTGTCTCTCCTCGTCGGAAGCCCTCAGGCCTCACTAATCTAACCTTTGAGCCTCTTCATCTTCTAGATTGAGAAGAGTTAGCAGCAGCAGCGCCGAGAATGCGCACTCCTCGCTCTCTCCTTCTTCTTCTCCATCTCAATCTCCAGAGATCTTAAAGCTTAAATCTCCAATTCTTAATCTTCTTCCTTCCCCCATGTGATTCCTGGTTTCCCTCTAATCTGTAATCTTCCATCACCACTCTTGGTCCTCTTCGTCTCTGATTCCAGGTACACGATTTCAACTTTCTTCTTCTTTTATTCGATTCTCCACAAGAAGTTCATGCCCGCTCTTCTCACCAAATATTGTCTGGATCTTCATGAGAACGAGAACACGCTGCGTTTGTAGGTTCTCTGGGTTTTTTAATGGTTGTGTATAAAGGGATGTCACGATTGTTAGATTTCTGTCCATTACGTTTGAATAGTGCTTGCAATAATAGAATCTTAATCTGGGATTTCTTTATGTTGTGTGTGTGTGTGTGTGTGATTGGTGTGGTGTTAGTAGATTTTGTTCGATTTGATTGTGTGGCGGACTGAGTTTTGGGCGTTTGCTATTGATTGTCTTGCCGTTTTTATTGGTTTGGTTCTAATGATGTCTCGGAATCCGTTTTAGGGAACCATGGGGAAGAAAGTTAAGAAGAAGAACAACCGAGCTCCTCCGAAGGAGAAGCGGGTATCTTCAATTTCGCCGAGCACGGTGCCCCAACAAAGCAGCACAACAGTGGAGATTGCTGGTGATGATGCGTCAGTTGTTAAGGAGAAAAGGGAATGCCGACATCTTGATAAATGCCTTAATTTAAGTGAGTTATCATCTAAAATTGGGTCCTCGGAACCTATAAACTGTGAAGATTGTCAAGAAAGTTCGGCTGATAGAAGGGGCAGTAAGGGGAAGGCTAAACATGGGAAGAAAAAGGGGGGAGCTCCAGTGGATGTAAAGTCTGATTCCAAAGCTATTTGGATATGTTTGCAGTGTGGGCATTATGCATGTGGGGGGATTGGACTTCCAACAAACTCTCAGAGTCATGCTGTTCGGCATGTCAGGCAAACTCGTCACCCTGTGGTGATTCAGTTCGAAAACCCACAGCTTCGATGGTGTTTCTCTTGCAATACACTAATTCCAGTGGAGAAAACTGAAGAGAACGCTGACCAGAAAGATGGCTTGTCTAATGTGGTGAAATTAATTAGAGACCGGTCGATGGAAGGCTCACCTGTGGATGTCGAGAACACATGGCGTGCAAGTAGTGAAGTTACAGCTGCAACTAAATCAGAAAGTTCTATATTAAGTGATTTGGACAGAAGAAATCATTATGTTGTAAAAGGCTTGATTAATCTAGGTAACACTTGTTTTTTCAATTCCATCCTTCAAAATCTCTTGGCCATCGATATGTTGAGAGATTATTTCTTGAAATTGGAAGAGTGTGTTGGACCTCTGACTATAGCTTTGAAGAAGCTCTTTATTGAAGTAAGAATGGAAGGCAAAATTAAAGGTTCAATAAATCCAAGATCAGTTTTTGGTTGCATTTCTTCCAAAGCTCCTCAGTTCAAAGGATACGATCAACATGATAGTCACGAATTGCTTCGTGTTCTGCTTGATGGATTGTCTACTGAAGAGCTGGCTTCGAGGAAGATGACAAAGTCCAAGGAAGAGAAAACATCTGGAAATTCCACTCCTACTTTTGTAGATGAGATGTTTGGGGGGCAAATATCAAGTGCTGTATGTTGCATAGAATGTGGCCACACATCGACAGTTTATGAACCATTTCTAGATCTCTCTCTTCCTGTTCCGATTAAGAAACCGTTGGCCAAAAAGGTCCAACCAGTATCTCGAGCAAAGAAGACAAAAGTGCCACCCAAGAGAAGTGGAAAAACTTTCCCTAAAACCGAGAAGGCTTCAGATGTTGTATCAGTTCAAATTGCCTCAGTTCCATCATCCAGCAGTGAGTCTTCCCTTCCAGCAGAGGCCAGTTCCATTGGCACATCTACCATTATGGAGAAGACTTTGAGTTCTCAGAACGTCTCAGATGTTAAAGAGTCTGAAAAAGAAGTATTGATTGAGAATGGAGGAGAATGTACTTCAGATAGTCTGACGTGGTTGGATTTCCTCGGACCAGAACCGAATGCAGAAAATTGCAATACTTCCACTACCCAGGACTCTGAAAACAATGTTGAAGTCTTTATTAATGACGATTCACAACAAAGCATCTCTGGGTCGAGTAATCAGGGGTCATCCCTTCACAACGAGCCCAGTCAACAACCAGATTTTTCTTCAATTAATTTGTGGGATGATGAATCTCCTTTACAGGTTCAAGCCTCTGAAGTTTTGCTGCTTCCTTACAAGGAAGAGAGTTCCACTACTGAAGTAGCAAAAGAAGATGACCAGGCTTCCTCATCAATTTTGGGCTGTGCTCAAGATGATCTTGATGGATTTGGCCTTGGGGATATGTTTGATGAGCCTGAGATCACTGTAGGGCCCCTTCCGAGGCCCTCCACTGTGAATGAAGTTTCGGAAAGTAGTTTTATTAGCGAGTCTGATCCTGATGAAGTTGATAATTCTGATTCTCCTGTTTCTGTGGAGAGTTGTCTAACTTATTTCACTAAGCCGGAACTTCTCTCCAACGAAAATGGATATAACTGTGAGAAATGCTTAAAAAGACTGCAACAACAAAGGTTGGAAATGAAGAAGCAATCAAAAGTTGCTCGCGAAGTTGTAGTAAATGGATGTCAAACTGCAGTAGGGGGTGATATATCATGTTTGAATGAGAACTCTTCAGTTGAAGTAAAAAATCAAAGAAATGTGAGTTTAGTAAATGGTTCCATGTGTTATAGTAGTGGTGAAAGCATGAATTTGCATGAGAATGTAGATTGTTCCAGTCAAGTATGCACAAAACCTGCTGATTGCCAGACAGGCAAGCTGAATTCCCTCGTTTTGGATGAGAATGAAGCAAAGGTTGACGGAGACGTGAATTCCGGGCAAGCATATTCTTCAGGTTGTAGTAACACCAGCAATCGAGAGAATTCAGATGATAGATCCAGTTATTCTCTTTCCAACAATGATTCTAGAGGCAGTGGACTTGCAAAATCTAATATTGAGCCCTTGAGTTCTCAAATATCTGTAGAGAACAGCGAATTAGAAAAAAGTGAGGATGGTGAGATGGATTCTGACTCCACAATTGTGAATGTGAAAAGAGATGCAACAAAAAGGTTTCTCATTCACAAGGCCCCTCCTATTTTGACAATTCATATAAAGAGATTCAGTCCCGATGCTCGCGGTCGTTATAGTAAATTGAATGGTCATGTCAGATTCAAGGAAACAATTGATCTTAAACCATACATGGATACCAGGTATTATCTCCATCCTTCTATCCTGTTCCATTTTACGTTTTTTTAAATTCCCCAAAACCATTGCTTACAACCCTTTTTCCCAAGACAAAAAAGATCTTTTTGGTTTTTTTTTTTCAAATCCCCATGGGATGTGGGGTACAGAAAGGAAAGGGAAGTTGCATCAATACTTTAAAAAGCCAACTTTCGTGGATGTTGTTAATGAACTCAACGTAAAAATTTCAAACTCATTTCGTGGATCTTGAAGCTCTCTAGTCAAGATCATGAATTTACCCAGTGGAAGATGATGATCATGGAAGGTGATAGCGTTGCCATTGTCTTATAATTGCTAATGCTATCACTACTCTGATCTTCATCATTCTACTGCATTTAATCTCTGATTCTGATAATAGCACTTCCATTTCTAGAACCCAGTCCGAGAAAATGACGAGGGTGTATACAAAAAAAGAGTATAAAACAAGAAGAAAAACTTTGCATTAGAAAACAAATCTGTTCCATTATGAGTTTCACACAGTATACCCGTGCACAGAATTCACCAAAGTGAAGGTACATTTCCATAGTGCCCCTGAGCCGAGGCCAGGGGCCAATTGCTGATACTCTTAATCAGTGGAGTTCTACCACCGCATTCATGCCTCAGAATTCTATTGTCTTACATGGGAAAGATGTATTCATGACTTTTTTTTAATTCATTTCTAGATCATCAGTTGTATTTTATTCCTTCTTGGTCATGTTGTGGTGGTGATGCCTACGTAAATGATATCTTGTTAAACTTTGGGTTTGTCGGAAAATTTGGCTAATTTGATAGCTGAATGACTTAAATGAGGACTCGAGGATTATTGGGACTGAAATTGTATTGAAAGATATGAAAGTACAGTTAAAGTCTCAAGTAAGACTAAACACCCATATTATACTTACCCCGTGGCCCGATTCCTCCTATTTATACCAAACTACCTCGTTAATTGTCATGCTATCTAGTCCTGTTGGTAACACCATGTTTATATTGGAGTTTACAGGTGTGAGGATAGAGACAAGTGTAGTTATCGGCTGATCGGGGTCGTGGAGCACTCTGGATCTATGAGAGGAGGCCATTATGTTGCATACGTGAGAGGGGGCAGCAGGAGGAGGAGCAGTGGGGAAGCTGAGGAAGATGCTTCAGTGTGGTATTATGCAAGTGATGCCTGCGTAAATGAGGTTACTCTTGATAGGGTCCTTTGTTGCGAGGCATACATCCTATTTTATGAGATAACATGACAAATCTTTGGCTAACAGATGCTTACTTCTTCATTGCCTCCAACAGAAGAGAGAGAGGGATTTGCAGGTGAGTGTACAACAACTGTTTTACAAAAGATTTTTTCCCCCGTAAAAAATCCATTCTTTTGATCCATTAGATATAGGTTTTGAAATATGATTTTTGATTAAATTTGTGTTGTTGCCATTTTCAATAGGAGGGAGGGGGTGGGGGGCTTGGGAGTTGACCCTTTTTCACCCCGGATTTTGTTATATGAGATATATGAATATGCTGAAATTGTTTTTTTTTTTTTTTCCATCTCTACTTTTCCTTGTGACTTTCTAAAAAATGGAAATATTTATCTTAACGGAAAATTAGATTTCTGAGTATGTTTTTGGATGGGACATAAAAAAATTGAGAGTGCAGCATAGTTCAGCAGCTAATCCATTGGTAACTTTTCCTATACTTTTAATATTGGCATAATTAAGATTAACTATGTTGAATCTCTATTTTATTTGTCAGTTTTATCAAATATTCCAATCTCTCAATATTACGACTTTTGAAGATTCAAAGTCATCTTGTGAAGGTCCTTTGTGATGAGAACGAGTGTGAATTTCATATATTAATTATTCCTTCGTTCTCCAAATGTAAGATATGCTTAAAAAATGGACGTGTCTTTGATTGACATGTGATTTATTTTTAAGAGTTGGTTTGATCATAAATATTTATATCGTGAAAATGAATGAGAAGTGTTGATAAGATTAAGGCATATATTTTTTACTAAAAGGTTGTAGATTCAAACTGCGAACCTGACAGCTATCACTTACTAGTCAATGAAAGTGGGGTCAGTTTCAGTCTTCTTCGGAGCTTTCGATAATGTTCTCTCTCTTGCTCAAATTGTATCTCGATCACAACTATATTTTTAAGGTCTCTTGTTAGTGTACTATTTTAATTGAGATGGTAGGTCAATAATTATTTTGCGTTAAATGAAGTGCTTTTCAAATTTTGCTATTAACGGTAATAATAGAGGCACACTCTTTATTTAGGAGGGTGCAAAATATTTATGTGATTCTAATTACAATACTAAAAAGAAATATATTTTATTTTTAAAAAAAATGGAGAAATATCTTGCTTCAAATTACATAATGCAAAATGTTTACCACGTTTTCATGATACTAATGCAATGTTTTATTTTCCCTTCTTGCCTCTTCATTGTAACAATTTTTTTATTAATACATTTATTTTATTTCTCCTTTTTTTTAAATAAATTATACATTTCTTTTATTGTTTTTTCTTTTTTATTATCTTCTTTTTCATTCAATGGTACTTTATTCAAGAAGGTTCCGTTCTAGGCAAAAGCAATACAAGACATTATAACTTTACCCAAAAAAAATAAAAAAATAAGCAAAACCTCCCCAAGTCCGCTACCACACACAACCATTAATCTATCGTCTTGTCTCTCTTTTTTTTTTCCTTTTTTATAATTATCTTCAAAACAAACAAATTTACATCAAATAAACATAAATCCATGGTGAAAGACGATTTCTATTGCATCTTTAAAAGATATTCCAAATGATCATATTGTAAGAATTGGGGCCTGTAATTACAATTCATAATTCTCTTCATTCTATCATCTAAAAAATGTCCCTTTCAAAAAAAAAATCGTCTAGAAAATGTGTCACTTCATCATTAGGACTATGAACTGATATAATTTGAACCATTCACGTCAGTAAAGTATTTAAATAAGGGCCTCAAAAAACTACATGGTCAAGAAGAAACCTTGTAAAAAGTCTTTAACTGCATGGGATGTGTGAACCAGAGTGCAAGAAATGCTACATTACAATATAGGATATTCAAGAGAACAGTATAACATATGAAGAAAGTACACACCCTGTTGATGAATCGCTGTGTTCTCGCATAAGAATGGCCCGCCTCTTGTCATTGTCTCACAATGCTATCCGGACGCACCTGACGAAAGCAAGAATCGACCTCCATGATTCAACAGGACAAAAATCAATGTCAGGTAGATTTTCATGAGAAATACCGTAGTTTATGCTTGCCATTTCTGACCCATAAAATTTACCTGAAGGCAAGTTCCATTGCTAAAAGAAACCCATTGAACTGTATTGTTGTTGGCAGGGTGGAGTTAGAATGAGCTTACTAAAATCTTGATATATGCTTCTCATCTACCTACTGAGGTCGTTGAATTTGTTTGTGTTGAGGTATCCAAATCAATGTTTCCTTCACCTTCCAACTGGCTGTTCAAAATCTCCAACACATTATCTGGTGGACATTTATCGGCAGGATTTCTAGGTGACATTTGACAGAAACATTCAGGCCAAGAATTCGTATAGAAAGATTCTGGTGAAACACGTTCATGTGGCCCACCAAAATGTGTGCCGAGCATGACTCTCTTGATAGCTTCTTCAAAGCCTGCCGTCTTTCCGTTCTCTCTGTCGATGAAAATTGGTGCAAGAGCTTTCCTATCTGGTCTAATTGTGGTCCGGAAGCCGTAATAAAGACGGTGCCCCAGCAAATTGTTGGCGAAGTTGCTTGGTCCATCATAGGTTGGCATGAAGATGTCGGAGAGGAGACAAACCATGTAGTCAACTGCAGCTCCCGTCACTCCCCTGACATTTTCAACAAGTTCCTCGGAGGATTCAACAGAGCTATGGTTCTCGAGGCGAGGGAATAAAGATCGAAATGGCTTCATGAATCTTTCGCCACCAAAGAGCTCACCAGCCGCGAGGTATATTCTGGTAGAATTGTTGAACCCCATTGAACGTAAAACGAGACCAACCTGCAGAACAAAAAGCCTTGCAGCATCAGTGACCATATGATTTTTACACATCCATAAAAAATGACGAAGACCCAGTCAAGTTGGTATGCCAACGTCACCTCCTCTGGAGTTAAGGGACATTTTCCAATTGCCCTTCTTTCACTATAAACAAGTCTCTTTTTTGCAAAATTTTCCTCTCGATATTTCTTCAATATCTTCTGCTCTTCAGGAGTAAAAATATCAAAACACCTGCAAACCAGTCAAATAATGTAAGGATACTGTAACATTTACTTTTCTCTCTCCGAATAGATAAGAAATAGTATGAGAGAGAAAGTAAACTGCAAAGCGGGCATGTCCAAGCTCCTTCCGTAATTTTCTTTTGAAATAAATGGAAGTAGTATCGGATGAAAAAAAAATTATAACGAAAAATAAACAACAACTACTATTGTGAGGCAGCCACCAGGTCCTTGTTTTAAAATGTTATCAATACTAATGAAGAAAAAACTTACCCTGCAAAGGCCAGCATATCCATCTCAAAACGAAGATGAATAGACATGAAATGACCTTGATTGCGGAGCTTATTGACTATTGATTGACTAATTCTTAAGATATGTGGCTTAAATCTCAGAGCGTGATAATTAACCCTGCATCGCAATCTTTGGTATTCAGGGTTGTCAATTTCTTCTGCTAAACGATGTGAAAATGGAGTGAGATATATGGCACCGTGCTCCCTCATCTTCTCCAGAGCAACTGTAGTATACCAACTGATTGGAGCATCTCTAGGGGGTCGGAGCTGAGTCGATTCAAGAGAACATGAGCTACAAATCTAAAATCACCAACAAACAGAAAATTTATAACAGAATTCAGACATCTGATTTATTACCTGAAAAGGTTTTATCTTCTTGGCTTTCCCATTCTTGCGAATATCAGGAATGCTTTCCACAATTCGTACATCATACCTCAGTGTCCTTATAAAATTCTCAACATCATAGATACCATGAAAACCACTACACAAAATAAAATATATAGTTACCGGGAATGCATTATAGAGGTTAGAATATTTTGTGCAAGGAGAAACAAGATTTAGTTAAAAGCCTTAAGTGCACATGACGTAATTTCCTCATGAAACATATGTCATAGAAGCAGTCACATAGAAATTCTGCATTGTGTTGGTCAAAATTTGAGTTAGTAAGAATGTAGAAAGCTGCTCCAATTTCCAGAGGAGGCTGACTAAATTTTTCCCAAACAGTTTTTCATAATTTGCCTAGATATTATTTCTCAGTCTTCAGTTTGCCTAGCTTTATGGCCCCAATTGGTAAGGGACCAATAAAATAACAAAGAGGTTATTTAAAAACAACAATTCAGTACAATGAGAGGAGGGGAAAAAAAGGCTCCTCTCACTTCATGGTTTCGTGGCCTCAAGAGACAAAATAAAATAATCGGCCATACACAGCATAAGATATATAAATGAGGTGACTAAAACAAGTGGAAGAACAGATGATAGAGGTTTAAAATTTAAAATACCTCTTCTCGTGCCAAAAGGAGTTTGCATCTAACTCAGGTAGAACCAGTGTTGCATTCATAATTCGAGCAGCAAGAACTGCATTACAAATCTAAAACACCCAAATAATGTTTTCTTAAGAAAAAATAAACTCTCATCGGAAGTAATGAAGCTACGGAAGATAAGGTCATACGAAACCATATGCAGAAAACTAAACAAAAGCCCCCACACCCAAAAGAAAACTACAAGAAGAGACTCCTATTGTTCATAATCAGAAAAAATGAAGTCAGAAAATCCCAAGGGAAGTCACAATAATGTTTATTAACAATTAAAACGCTCCACCTTTGGTGAGAATATAAACGTACCATCTTTAAATTTTTCATGATAACTGATCTGCTCTAAGCTCTAACCATCTAACCAGGTAATGCAAAAGTGGGAAGCCCCAGTTTTCAGGATATAAGGATACTTTTCCATTCCAATTTGAACTTCTATCTCGCTGACAACAGAAAATCTAGGAGAGTATGGCAAAAACTAGAGTTAAAGAGATGTAAGAAATACTAACAGCACTGCGTTGTTGATTCAGACCACCATTACAGCGAACCTTCAAGTAGCCGTTGCTTTCATTTGGTGGAGCTGCCATAGTGCGATTGAGATTGAAAGTCTATATCTTATTTAAAACAATAAAACCATAATTTTTAACAATAAGGAAAAAAAACATTCAATATAATCTTGTTGTATAAGACAATGATCTTTAAAGGCAGCGAAAATTACGTGGCCAATCAGATCGCGGAGCTGAGGAAGGCTTCCAATCACCAGAATCAGCATGTCTCCAAAGATCTTCAACCTTGATCTGCTCGAACAATAATAGCATGAAATGTCAAATTTCAAATCGTGTTCAAATATTCAAACACTACCAATAGCTTTTCTACCACCTCCTCCACGTTTCCAGAAACTTGCTCAGGCGAGGTAGCTTTCCTTTTGCCGTATTAATTCTTAAGGATGAGAAAATTATCAATGCAGTTCTTAACTCCCATTTTAAAGGGGCATCAGACCATTTTTTCTATGTAAGGTGTCTACGCTTTCATATCATTATAAAACTACAATGTAGTAGTGATTTCGTCATCGGGTAATGAATTTCAAAGAAGGACAATCGTAGTGTAACGCAGACCTTGGCATTATTTCAGGAAAACCAATTCAGATTATCGTTACCAAAATTCCATCAATAAATTAATGGGCCAACATGCTTACTCTTTTCCAATATTCACAGGTGGAAGTGGAAGAAGAATTGACATAGTCAATTTCATCGAACTAACTATGATACTACCACTCTAAGCTCTACTTCAACAATCTCGCAGCAAATAATCACACGCAATAAGCTCAGCCTCAACTAACCTCAGAGCGATAGACGGATCCAAAGCTACCTTTGCTCGTCGAGGAAACAAACAACGAAACTGTGCAGATCAAGAGAACAACCACAGCGATTGATAACCTCCCAATCATACCCTTCACCCCTCCTACACCTTGCTTCGCGTGGGGCCGATGAAGATGGTGCCCTGATCTGCAACAAATGAGATGGCAATTCAAACTCTAATACGGCGAGGAAACATCTCAACCATAAATGAGAGAAATGTATAAGAAACGGAAGATCGGAGCAGAACCTTCTCATGATTCCGTAATGAAGTGTGTGCGCGGCAAAAAATCGGAGTTCCTCCTTCGATTGCGATCGTCAGTTTGTGAAGGCCCAGAGAATTGGCAAGTTCGTAGACTGATAATCTGGAAGATTGTGGAAGAACAAGAATCGAATTTCTTGATCTCTATCTTCCGTAATGCGCAGTTACGCGGGGAAGTTAGCTGTGGAGCATAGGCAAGAGGAACTAGAAGAGAGTTCCACCCATTCTCATATTCGGGTCGGGTTGACCCTTTTGTGTTCGGATCCATGCCGACTTGTTTAATGGGCTTAGAAATATCCGATTGTCTCCATGCTTCCAATTTCCACTATATAAATATATATTATTTAACATGAACTTAGCTTCGAGAGAGGAAAAAACAAAAAAAAAAAATTAACTCAATCATGATTGAAACATGTTTTTTATTTAGATATGAGCTCAAATTATCCACTCCACTTTATTATTCTCAAGAAAGCAAATTTATAAGTCGGTATTAATTGTGTTATTTAAATAGTCGAATAATTTTATTTTTCTAGCAAATATAGAGTGGAAATTCAAATTCACAAACTTTTAGTCGGAGATATATGTCTTAGCTATACTCTGGTTAGCAAATAATAATAATAATAATAATAATAATAATAATAAATACATTCTTGACAAGCTTGACACAACTTGATAGTAGATGATACAATGAAGTGTACTATCCGTAGAAAAATAGAGAGACGGTTTAAAAAATAAACATTTTGGGAGAGAGATAAGTTAGAACGAAGGCCGTTTAAAATGTATTTTGTATATATGCCTTCGTTGAATTGTTTGGTCCATTCACTTAATAGTCTGCTCTCTCATGTTACGTATTGTCATATTATTGTATGTACATACATTATAGGTTTAAATCCTTGCCTTCGTTATAACAACGGTATAAAAAATACAATTGAAATATTTTAAATCTCAGTATCTCAATAAACACAATCATAAACCTCAAATACGGGACTTTTAATTTAACTATATTTATTATCGATGAGTTGCAACTTTGATATATTTATTATATAAATATCATATATCTAAACATGTGAAAGTTCAAGTAGACAACTAGACACGTCCTGGCTTGTACATCAAACTACGTTTATCCATCACTTTTATCGCCCTAATGGTCTATTTATTCGTACTACTTTAAGTCAAAATATGTTTTAATCTGATACGTATATGATGCATGAACAATAAATTTATTTATTTATTTATTTTTATTTTTTTTTTGCATCACATAGTAAAGAAAACAAACAAAACCAAAATAAAATAGGAACACCAATAACTTATATCTTCGCAGCTCCATGGACCATGTGGTTGCCTATCAATTGGTGAATCGCTACTACTGAGACGAAAATTAAATCATATCATAATCTAAAATTCATATAAACAATTTAACCCCTTTTATATAGCTTCCCTCGATTATCATATCATGGTTAATCTTATTTTTTGTTCAGATTAATTAGGTTTGTGCGTATTTAGAGCCTCGAAATATGCAGCGAGAGTGACATTTAGGGTAATTATCTTAACATTTGGTCACCCACTTTTTCAAGTGATTTTTACATAATTAAATCTGGATTTGAATGACTAATATTTGAAGTTTAAATAGAGAATTTGACAAGAGGTCTAATGAGATAAATGTTAAAGAGGAACAAAAATCTTAGAGAGATAAAGAAAGTGAGATGGAGACTGCAAATTTTGGAGAGACTACAAAAATTTGGAGAAGAAATTAGAAAGAATAAACTAAATTAAAGAAGGGTAAAGTGAGAGAATGACAAAATTGTAGAAAAAAAAATTCTCAAGATTTAAGGTGAAAATAAAGTGGAATAGAAAGATAAATTCAAAACTTTGAAACAACAATCATTTTTAAAGTTAATTTCCCATTAATTTATTGACAAAAAATAAATTCGGAGTCAAAGTGATTGGGCATTGGAATTTTTAAAATCATTTGAAAATTATTATCAAACATATTACTTTAAGATGGTCGTGATTCTGACATCAGTGAAAGAGTTCCAAATACACACTTATTAGTTTGACGTGTAACGTATCGTATTTTCTACTTTAAAAAATTAAATATGCAAATATTATATTCAATTTTTATTAGTTAAATATTAATGTGTTGCAAGTTGTACATGATCCGACCTTAGCTCAGTTTGTAGGGCGGAGGACCGTAGTGAGGTTTCTCAGGTATCCTTAGGTCGCTGGTTCGAATCCGGCAGGTCGGACCATTTTTATCTTTTTATTTTCGTTTCCCTTTTTCTTTTCTTTTTTTCTCTTTAAATAATGGTTTATAATATTTCCCTTTTTCTTTGAACAATAGTTGTATTATAAATTTAACTGCATATAAATATTTCATCTAGATGATTTAATAATTAATTTTCATTTCCTTTCTTCTTTTTTTTTTTGTTCTCTCTTTAAATAATGGTTTATAATATTTTCCTTTTTCTTTGAACCATGAGTGTATTATAAATGTAACTGCATATAAATATTTCATCTCATAGATGATTTAATAATTAATTCAAATTTCGTATAAAGGATTTTGAAAATGGATGTATATATTACGAGTATCAACATAATTGCATTAGGGGATGGGTTCTCACCTATTTACAAGTGTTCTTTGCAAGAATTTAAGAACAGTTCGAGCGCTCGGACGATTGAGGCTCCCCTAGTGCAAGACATATGTCGGTTCAATTGAATTGGGTGGTCTCCTCCACCGATGGGTTGGGTGAAATTTAATGTGGATGCAGCATGCAAATAAATATTTTTTTCCGAACAGGGGTGGGGATGGTGGGAAGAAATGAAAAAAGGGATCCTATAGCAGCCATGTTGAAGACAGTTGAAGTGTATCACAAACCTCTTATAGCCGAGCGCTCATGTCCAGAGGACTGTAAAAAGCTGCAATCAATGGGATCTTCTTAATCCTCCCTTCCCAAAAGCGAAAGGAAGAACGTGAATTCTTTTTCCTTTCTTCCACAGAGACCAGGAGATTGGATTTAGCCATAAGAAGAATGTTTAGCTGATAAATAGTTCACTTCTTGGTCGTCGACCCCCTCAGTCACTACGAACACCCCCTATCAGTGCAATGGGACGACTTTGGAGTGTCTTCATCTAGCGCAAATGTTGAATCTGAGTGCCGTGCAGGTTGAGTCAGATTCTCTTCAAGCTATTGATCTAATAAATTATGTTCAAGTCCCTTCGCTCGAATATGGTACCTATGTTCATGATATCAGGAATATGATGAGGGAGTTTACTAAGATTGAGTTTATGCATGTTCGTCGATGGCATAATCAACTCGGCCATAAATCTTGTAGAGGTAGTGTGAAGGTCGGGAGGAAATTTTCTTTATCTCCATTATTTTCTCGCCCGTGTTTTAAAAGAAACCATAAGGAAACTCTATGCGTCACCCACATGGTGATGGTGCTATTTAGTTTCTATAAAATTATATTTTCCTAAAAAAATGATAAATAAATAATTGCATTAGGGAGACGCGTTCGACATTATCAACACAGAGTATGATAGCACGCTAAATAGTATATGATGATAAATGTCACCTCATCAAGCATAGTATCTTATCTATTGCGAGCAATGTGATATGTGCCATATGACATAGTTGAAACTAAACACATCTAGTATATTGATAGTTGGGTAGTCATTGTTGGCTTCAAATGATATCAGTGCAATACACTTAGGTTAGGGGCCGAGGTCTATAGTTCACTTATTAAACATAAGTCAATATTGGTCTCGACTAATTTGATTATGACTCATTGTTCTAGTAGACTCGCTTCAAGTAACTGTAACACTGTTGCTCAAGTTTAGCTTTTGGTTCAATTATCCACCATCACATATTGTTATATTATATAAAATAAAATATTCACGGTATATTGTGATATATTTTAAGAACAAATATGAATCCAATATTGTCAAACTATGCAAGGAAAGACATGCACAATAAAAAAGCACTCTAATGCTCAAGTGTTGATATAAGGTCGAAAGACAATGAATTAGTGAATCCCACGTATAGTTCTATAATTTGTCATGGCGACGCTGAGAGGACGAAGATGAAGATGAAGGAAAGGGTGGACGGCGCTAAGAAGAAGAAAATGAAGAGGGGGTGGGTGAAGCTTAGAAGACGAAGTTGAAGAGGGGGTGGGCGGTGCTGAGAAGACGAAGATGAAGAGGGGGTGGGTGGCAATGAGAAGACGAAGATGAAGGAGGGGGTGGGCGGTGCAAGAAGAAGAAGTGGGTGTTTTAATTTTATGGCTCCTTCCAAGTATAATATTAAAATAATATAATAATATAATATTAAAATAATATAATATTATAATATTAAAAAATTTTAAAATAATCTAATATTATAATATTAAAAATTTAAAAAACTACGAGGTGTATAAAAATTCGGTCAGTCGACTCGATTTTTCAGCCACGCTTGCTCACCCCTAGTTTGATCGAGCTATCGGGTCATTTTTGGTCAACTCTTCTTAAATCAGCCACTTAACATTACCAAAATAATTAAGAAATGACTGTAAATTGATATTTCCTAAATCTCCACTTGACATGTCGTATTTTGCTCTCCAAAATTACTTAATATGTTAACAAGTTTTGTTTTTTTATTTAAAATCTCACCCTATAATTTATTATTATTATTTTTTAACGTGAACTGCTATTCATAACAAAAGTTATTTACGTGGTTTATTTTGATTAATTTTTAATTTCGTCTAAATCAATACTTCAAAAATTATTATAAATTAATCGTCACGATTTGAATTTTTTTTCTTTACTTGATTTTACATGTTGTATAAAATTTAAATCGATCCCTCAAAATTAATTAAAAATTATCGACATAATTTAATAATAAAACCGCTGTCTTGGAAAGTTTGGAAAATTAAGAAAATTTGGAAGGAAACCCACCTCCTCCCGCCAAAGCGGCAAAATCCCAAACCCTAAACCCTTCACCTTTTTTTTTTCCGCCCCTCCAAATTCCGGCGAATGCTGTAGCCGCCGATTCAAATACCGGCCAGAAGAAGCAACATTGAATGCAGAACCAGTGAAGTTCTAACTTGGACCACCGGAGTTTAGTGCGATGTACGGACGACCATCCAGATTCTGCCCTCCCAGCGCGGGTTGGCGGCACCCCCAGCAGCAGCAACCGCCGCCACCGCAAGCGCAGTTTCCACCGGCGCCATATCCGAACCCTAATGACCCTCTTCAAAACCTTAATTATCTTCTCCAATCTCATCTTGGTTTCATTCCTGGTCACCAGAACCTCAACTTCCCTATGCAGAACTCGAACTTGCCAATGCAAAATCCTGGTTTCCACTTCCCACAACCTCCCAATCCAGGCTTCCAGCCGCACAGTTCGGTTACGGAGCCAGCAGAAGTCGATGCGAGGATCAAACCTACCAAGCCAGGTTTCCAGCCGCAGAGTTCGGCTACGAAGCAAGCAGAAGTGAAGGCGAGGATCAAATCTCCCAATCAAGGTTTCCAGCCGCAGGTTTCGGCTACGAGGCCAGCAGAAGTCATGGTGAGGATCAACCATGCTGTAGATAAGGCACACAAGGATCTTCTTGTGGCTGGAGAAAGCGTCTCAGCATGGAAGGTCTCTCAATCATCGCTTTCAATTCTCCAGGCTGATTCATGGGATTATTTAGGGCTCCGTATGCAGGAAATCGATGCTCTTCATCGCCTCATTGTGGTGGAAGGGAAGGTAACTCGAGAACTACTTCTAGAATTCTCTCTCTCTATCTCTCTGTTTTGTTCGGTTTATCTGATAACTATTTTGGGAATAGAGTCTAGTTTAAGTCTGGATTCTTTGAGAACTTGAGTGGACTGGAAATATGAGTATTATAGCCTACCGAGGCCTTTATCTTGAAGGAACTCATATGGATTTTCTGTCGTAACCAGATTTTCCCATCAAAATGAATCCATTTAAAAACGATAATGGGGTTCAGGGTGGAGATTGATAATCCCTTCCAGAAGAGTTCCTGCGTTATTTTTCTCTCTAATTTATCGAAGTTTGGATTTATTAGAGAAAAGAAAGTCAAAATTTCGTTTTTCTTTCTTGAGAATTGAATAGTGTTTAAAAAGTATATTGCTTTTTTCATAACGTGTATCACTTTTCTTGTTGAGAAGTTTTGTTTGATGTCCACTACACTATTTAGTTGAGAACAACATGTTCCCACATTTTTGGTTTTTTTTTTTGTTTGCAGTTTTCGGAAATAATCTTTGGTCAGCAATGATAATTGGTAACTTGTGATGCTGTATCTTTAGTTGCTCAATGGTTGTAGTCTGTGATATCTGCGCAGCCTAAAACTATAAGTTAACGAAAATGCTTTATAGATTTCAAAAAATTTAAATAGCTTTAAAAGGAAAACAGGTTACAAAATTAGAGTACCTTTTATAAAGCAAGAAAAAATTCAAATCAGCTTAAAATATTATTCTTCAATCGTGAGATAGCTTGTATAAATGTTTTCATTGATCTATTTTCCTGTATTTTTTCCCTGAAAATCTCTGGAATAAGTTCTATAGATCGTCACTTGGGGGAAGATTTGATTAATGTTCTTCTCCCACTATCTATAGAACCAAATTATCACATGCGAACCAGATAATATGGATCAGAAGGGTCAGTTGGCATGTTTAGGCTGTCTCAGTCTGTCACTAGAAATAATAAAAAATGCCACATCCTTTTTTCTCCAAATATGAATGTGGTGGGTTATCAAAATTTCAGGTCAAAAATATATTAACTTCAACAAGTTATTGATATTGTCTGTATTGGTTTAGATCAATTCATTTATTCACTGCTTTGTGGGGGTGAGAAGAATTACTACGTTATATGAATTGGAGAAGGCTATATGCAAGAATGAGGGTGTTAAACAATTTGAAGAGCTGAGACTGGGCCCTTTTCTGCGTCACCCTCTTGTTTTGCATTATTTCTCAGTGAATTCCGAGGTAACTGAAGTATTTAAAATAAAGAGTGAGGAGATTGTTTCTTTTCTTTCCGAGTTCATCGATGTGGATGCTGGTAGAAATAAAAATTTTAGGGTTGAAGACTTTATGGATTTCATTTCCGGGAAGCGATCAGTCACAAAGAGGGAAATGCTGGGTGTACGTGTTCAAAACTTGGGGTATGTATTTTTGTACTTTCAGGCATTGCTTCACTAATAGAAGACTGAGAATATTTATGACATGAATTTATACTTATAAATATTGATGCAGTCTAGTTTGTACTTTTGATGTTATAAATTTGCTTTTGGCCATATGAATGAGACATGCTAGTTTTTGTAGGATGCATATTTCTGTTATTCAGAATGCTAGGAGATCAGAAGATGAAATTCTCAGTAAGTATCTATCAAAACCTGACGAGAAACGTAGGAAACGTCCTCTTTTCTCATTGCAGAAGCAACAGCTAGATGAGCGTTTTAGTGCAATATCTCAGCGAGTTGAATCATTTTCCTCTGTTCACAAAGACTTTTGTGGCAAGCATGTTAGATTTGATTCTTCAAGCTCAGAAGATGAAGACAGCAATGATAACACAAATAGCCATGATTCCAGCTCTCACATAAAACTCTCATTGCAAAGTAATAAAAGTTCTGAGCGTACTAGTAGCTGTCCTTACCCATCTGCAACTGAAGAAATGACACGGCTTGGCTTGAAAGGTGAAGTAAGCGGCCATGCTACTCCTATTGGTGGTCAAAAGCACAGTATGGGCATTGGTTCATCCAAAAGGAAAAGAAAATCTAGAGATCAAAGCCACACAGTTTCTGGATCCCCAACCTTACGTAAAAAACCTAAGATAAAAGCAAGCATCCTCGACAAAGTCAGCATTAATAATTTTGATGAAGGCAGCAACGATCAAGCTGAATATAAAATTACAAAGAATTCTTTGAGGATATTCATCGCAACATGGAAGGATGGATGTAGAGATTTGTCTGTGGCCGAGGTGTGCTATGCTTTCACGTTTTTCAATTTCCAGTACTAAAGATATTGTTATTTTTCTATCCTGTATGCATTGAATTTGTTTAGACTCGAAATCTTTTCTTATGTTAATATGAATTTCTGCATGCAACACACAAATGATGCTAACAACTTCACGTTAATTTAGTTTTTCCCAATGATTAGCTCATAAAATTAATTGGTTTCTAAAAAATTAACCTCAAAACCAAATCTAAATTCTTGCTGTCACATTTTTTACTTTTATATGTTTATGTTTCTTTCTATACAGGTGGTTATTGTTTTTATAAATGAAATGCATTTTTTTTTTATAAGAATCTGAGAATTTCATTATCAAACAGAACTTGAACCTTGCTTTTTATATACCTTGTCTAGTTAATTTTATTTATTTATCAATTTTCAGTTTTTACTATTTCCGTTTCTTATAAACAAAATTTGTTTGGAAATAAGTTATGTATTGTTCTTCTTGGTTTCTTTCGGGGATGAATTTATATTTGCCCTTTTCTTAGATTTCCAAAGAACATCTATAGTTTAATAATTAGAATTTAGAACCTACTCATGTCAATATGGGAACATTATTAAACCTTGGTTTGAAATAGCGAAGAATAGCATCCTCTTCCTCAAATTATTGTCCTTCAAAGTTAAGCATGGTGATAGAGTTCGCTTTTGGTTGGATAGATGGAATGGAAATTCCATCCTTGCTCACGACTTTCCAAAAATTTTTGCCTTATCTTTGAAGAAAGAGGGCACGGTTGCAGATTGTTGGAATGATGAGCAACTCGCCTGGGATCTTGGCCTAAGGAGGGGTCTTTTTGACAGAGAGGTAGGAGGATGGGCAGATATTATGGGTAGATTAGATACTACTCGGATAGGAGAAGGTGTTGATAAAGTGGGCTGGTTTCGAGACCCCTCTGGTGCTTACACGGCAAAATCAGGCTTAAAAATTTTGTTTGAAGACACTCCACATTTGAGTTCGCTTGTTACCTCTCTTCTTTGGAAATACTCTGTCCCTAAGAAAGTAAAAGTCCTCCTTTGGACTCTAGCAAACAGGGCGGTTAACACAGTAGACAGACTCCAGAGAAGATGTCTAAATTGGGCTATTTCCCCTTCTGTTTGTGTCCTTTGCAAACAGAACGAGGAATCCATAGATCACACATTCCTTCACTGTCAGTTTGCTCTTCGAGGGTGGTCTTTTCTTCAAATCTTTGGATACTCCAGTTGCATGCCTCARAATGTTGAAGGGTGGATGAATGAAGCTCTGCGGGGTTGGCAGTTCAAAGGAAAAGCTAAAATTTTGTGGAATTGTGCGGCTAGAGCCCTCTTTTGGAATCTTTGGATGGAAAGAAACAATAGAATTTTTGAGGATAAGTCTTCTTCTTTTGAAAACTTTTGTAATACAGTTCAGTTACACACTTCTTGGTGGTGTTATAGGCATAGAAAACTCTTTTGTAATTATAGCCTCTCATTGATTTTGCAAGATTGGAGAGCTTTTCTTCATTAGTTCGTGGGAGGGGGAGCCCTCTTCCCCCTACCCTTAGGCTGTTTTTTTGTGGCTCTGTGCCTTCTGTCTATAAAATGTTTCTTATCTAAAAAAATATTGGGAACATTATTGGGCTAGATGTTAGAAATATCGTTAGGATATGGGGTATATTATTAATTAGTTAAGGAGTTTTTTTTTTATACTGTGAGTTTCCGGGCAAGTTTACGCGCACCTTGACTAATCTCAAGGGCAGCTGCCTGACCCTACAACATTTGGTGTTGGGAAACACATAGGAATTGATTCCTAAGGTACGTTGCAATCATGAGGTAGTTAAGGAGTTTGTTTTTTGGACATAAGGAGTTTGTTGGTAAGAGGTGGCCATGAATAGAGTGAGTGGGTGGGGCGGAGGCAAGCAACTATGTACTTGTTTCTTTCATTCTTCTCAACAAAAGCATGGTTTCAATAATAAAAAATCTTGGTCATTTATTAGGTGACAAAAAACCCAAATTCATCTCTTTTTTGGATCTAGTCCTAAGGTAAGTGGTAAAATTGCTAAATGGATCAGTATCATTTTGAAAGGTGGAAAATTCTTTATTATTTTTTAATACGTGTGAGTGTTCAGGCTAGCTTGTGTTTGAAAGGTGGCTTCATCGTTCTTGGACTGATTGTGAGTCTTTAGAGGTTTCCGATTTGCTTGGCCTGTTGTCGGACGTGTCTTTCAGTCTCGGGAGGGAGGATGCGCATGTGTGGTCCCCCAACCCTTATAGGGGTTTCTCTTGCAATTCCTGTTGCCATGTTTTGAGTTTCCCAGATTCTCCCCCGTCGGCCCCTTTGTTTACCTCTCTTTGGAAAATAAAATCCGAAGAAAATAAAGTTCTTTGGGTGGCAGGTCTTACTTGGGAAAGTCAATACCTTGAGGATTTCTTCTTTGTGTTTGGACTTGCAGTGGTGTGTGCTCTGCAGAGGAGCCTCGGGAGACCTCGAACATTTGTTGTGGTCTTGTCTGTTTGCTCAGATTCTCTGGCCTTGTTTCTTTGGATGTTTTGGGGTAGTTTTTGCCCTTAATAAAGATGTTAGGGCGATGATGAAAGAGGTGCTGCTGTTCCATCCATTTCGTGATAGGGGTTGTTTCCTGTTGCAGGCTGGCTTTTTGGTTACTATGTGGGGTATTTGGTTGAAGAGGAACAATAGAATTTTTAGAGGGTGGAAAAATCAGTGGATTCTGTTTGGAATCTTGTTAGGTTTAATACTTCTTTGTGGGGTTTGATTTGATCTCTAAGGCCTTTTGTAATTATCAGTTAGGGGTCAAGGATTGGAGTCCTTTTCTTTAGTTTTCTTTGGAGGGCATCCTCTTCTTGGGCTGTTTTTTGTATGCCCTTCTTGTTCTTCTTTTCATTTCTCAACGAAAGAGTGATTTCTTATCAAAGAAAAAAAGGTGGCCGATTAACCCTTGCTTATTTTCAGCATCCTAAACTATTACTTTTCCTTGTTAAAAGTTCCTGTTAAGCTGGAAAATGACATTAGAGATTTTACTTGGTAAGGAGCTAATTTTGATGAGGTTGTTATTTAATTTCGTGAAAATGGACTGCCCTCCAAATTTCATTAGGTGGTTTAATAGTGGGAAACTTCAGCCACAAAAATGAAGCTTTGCTGATTAAATGCTGTAAATGCTGTGGAGATACACTCATGAGGAGGGAAGAAGGCTCTATGGAGAAATGTTATTTTGAGTACATATGGTGCGGATGGATCCTTTGGTTGGCACACTAAAGAGGAGGCCATGATCATGGAGGTAGTCTTTGGCCTTGGAGTGTCAAATCCAAAGGCATTTTTCAAAGCTTCACCATTTTCAAAGTGGGCAAGGGAGATAGAATTTGGTTACTTTTTATCATGATTTTGTTATTGGTTGCATGATAGTCCTTGTTTGTGTCCTTCCCTAATATATATTATATTTC